GGCAAAAACACCAGAAATTCAGAGAGATGGGCTCTTGTTTTCTGTTTATGAGTTTAGGGGCCTTAAATTACAAGGGAGTTTTAGCTTGGTTCTCATTTTTCATCAAAGTACTTCTTTGAAGCTTTGCAAGTTCTGCTTTCCTGGTGGTGCTGCAGAGGAATCGGATGCTTTGGAAAGAGCTTGATAATGCCTTTACTCTTTACCTGCAGCATGGGCTGTTCTCTTTTTGTTTGCCAGTTTGGTTCTTTCCTGAAGAACTGGTGGTGAAATGGGTTAATGTAAAGGGAAGGAGTAATAGTAATCCTGATATGTGTCCTCATGTCTCTCAAGTTATATCTGTAAATTAGAAATTGCACAAATGTGGAAGCTGTAGTGTCAAGGACTGACACCAATCCTTGAACAGAGCCTGAGTAATTACAAGGACACTGTTAGAGTGACCTCTCCTTTGCCTCTAATGAGCATTGCAAGGTCTTTCAGGGTCCTTTTTTAATGTCTGTGCAGGGTGTTCAGCCAACAGTACACACATTGAGATCCCAGCTAACAAGGTAGCTTGTCCGTGTACAAAACCACTAGTATTTTCAAAGTTGTTTGAAACCTGTCCTAAACTGAGCCACTCAGTATGGCAGCTTGTGCTAGAGGTTTAGATCTGCATTTAAACATCAAACTGGGAAGAAACAAGAAGCAAAACCCCCAGATCCTGTCAGGAAAATAAAAGATTATAAATATAAATATAGGAATTTATTGCAAACTCCATTACCAGGGTAGGTCTTCTGAAAGATTTGTATCATCTGCATGATTGATACATGAAGTCTCCTTAATGAAACACTAGATCTGGAAGCTTTTATCTCAGGAAACCCTGAGTGCAATCTGTGTTTCCCCAGTGGAATTGCAGATAACATCTCTTTTATCATATGGTCCTATTATCATATGATTGGGTTTTACTATCCCTGTTCAAACTGGGTGTTAATGGAAGTACATCCTGGTCTGTACAAGCAACAGTGTGACCAGCAGGACCAGGGCAGTGAGCTCCCCCTGTACTGGGCACTGGTGAGGCCTCCCCTCAAATCCTATTTCCTTTCACCTCAAAGTTTGTTCTGGCCTTTTTCATGTGGCTAGTCAGTAATATGTACTAAAAGCATGTAGCCTTGGGTAAAAGATGTAGTAGGAGCTGAACTATTCATATTTATGGCTGGGTTTGGTTGCGGTTTTTTTATTCTAAACTAAATGATTCTTTTGGTCATTGTTTTGAAATTGTTTCCTGTTGCTGGAGGCAGGCAAGGCACATGCTGGGGTGTCCATGTGCCATGGGGACACTTGGCTCAGCTCCTTCTCCAAGTGCTGGGCTTTTCCCGTGCTGCTTGGAGAACCAGGGAAAAGCCACTTCTCGGTGGCTGGGCAAGGACCAAGGGTTGGAGCCACACACGGTCCCTCCAGGCAGTCCCAGCAGACACATCCCTACAGAAGAAGCAGTTGTGGCTGCTTTGCTGAGCTTTGCCCAGCTCTGAGTCCCTGGGCAGAGCTGTTGCTACTCTGGATCACAGTGTGACTCTTGAGCTGCTCCAGAGTTAAATGCTTTTCAAGTACCTGAACTTGGCTAGCTGTCCTTGGATTTTTTTTCTTTGCTGGGAACCAAGATTGAAATCATCAGGGGAAAAGGGTTCCTTTTGCTGTTGTTTGTGTGTCCAGCTCTGTGAGCCAGTGCCAGCTGCAGGACAGGAGCAGTCCTCTAATTTTTACTAATGAGAAATCCCTCCTACTCTCTCTTTCTGGACAGAAAAGTCTGTCTTAAATTCCTTTAAAACAAAGACCTAATTCTGCTTTTACTGCCTGCAGTTTTAATTCTGCCTCAAAATTACCATAGAGAGGGCAAAGCTGGATGGTGCCATTAAAAAGAAAATAATTATTCCAGAGTATTAAAGACTGGAACAAATTGCAATAACACTTTGTGAATGCCCAGGTCTGCTCAGAACAGATGCCAAGTCCCATCTCATCAGGGCAGAGGGGGTTGGGATCAGGACCAGCAAACAGACCACATCTCCACCATGAGTTTGGAGCTCAGATGGTCTCCCCCAGCTGCCTTTGCTGGTTTGCTTCTGTAACAGCCGTGACTTCTGTCAGCCCTTGGGCGCCATGCAGGGAGCAGCATTCCCAATGACATTAGGCTTGAGCTAACCCCATCTCAGAGCAGAAAAGCCAGAAGGACATGGGCTCCATATGCAAAGTAGCCATGGCCTTGGGTGCTGAGTTGAAGAGTTTCCTGGGGAGGTGGACCTCAGCCAGGAGCCTTGCTCACAGCAGGGAGACTGGAGGTGAGCACAGATGTGTAATGCACCATAACACAGAGTCACCACCCTCATAAATAGGAGCACGAGACCCTGGCTCTCTGCATGTACCTGTCAACACTCTCAATAAGCAAGTGCCTGCAAATGTAAGGGCTGCTCCTCCTGAGTGCTTGGATTAAGCTCTGGTTTGCAGTGCATCATTTAAGAGGTTGCAAATATTTTCCATGTGTTGAAATGAAATTATAAACAGATTGAGCCTGGGTACAGTAGATCCACTGGACTAAATCTGACTAAGAAAAGCTTTCAGTTAAAGAATGGGGCTTAAGGGGGGTGGGGAATGAGCTGGCATGGAGGGAAATCCTGTCACTTTAACAAAAAATATTTTGTGGAAATATACTCTCTGCAAAGATTGAAGGAGAGCTTCCCTGTGCAGGAAAGCAAATTGTAAATTGGTATCTACTAAAGCAGTCTGTTGCTTGAATGTAACAAAAGTAACTTTATGAAACTACAAAACAGCACACACTGCATTTTCATGGGAAATGTGCTGTATTCGGTGATATTAATTACTGTGTGGATCAATTTTCAGTGCAATTAATCCACAGGAAACAAAGGTACTGCAAGGGAAATATAAAAAGACAGTCAGCTAATAGGAGCCATATTCAATAAAATTGTATCTGTCTTCAGTGTTCTCCCGTGGCAGGGCACAGGATGGGCTGGGCAGTGGGTGTAGGGCCAAGAGGGGTTTGGAGCAACACTGTGTATTCACACATATGTATATAAAAATATGTATATGTGGGAAATACAACCCCTGTTTTGAGAAACTAGGAAAGAAGGGGGTTTAATTCAGGCTGCTGGTGGACTTCAGACCCAGGGTGAACTTCACCTTTCCTGCAGTTTCAATTTAGTGCCAGAATGTTAGTAAGCTGTTTGTTCTGTTTGCCTAGCACTTAATAGAAGGATTATCTGGTTTCTTTCTTTTTCTTCCAAGGTTGCTTTTTATTTTCTAAGCTGAATGTGTTCGTTTTTAGTGGTAGCATTCTCTCCCATTCAGGCTCCAAACTTCCCTAGGAAGTGACTTCATGTTATTATTCAAGTAGATTATTGCCTGGAGTGGCTGAATTACCTAGTGTTCGTGTAATGGCCAGCTCTCAGTCCATATGCATTTAATGACTGTAATCATTTGTTATTTTCCCTTTATTAGGTTTGTTTTTAAAGAAAGTTTTACTGTGCTATTTATGATATGCTAAGTGGTGCAACTTGCTGAAGAAACATATTGCATACATTTTATTTTTTAATAGGTTTTGCTTGCTAAAATGGAAATCTTTTATTTACCCTAGTAGGGCAGTTTTTTTGCTGACAGTTTTATTATTTCAATAGCTCAGACGTTTCTTTCCTCTTTTGTTTCCTCAGATACTCCTCCAGGGAGTTTTAATGTGCCATTCTTTATTTAAGATTGGGTTCAGAATGTGTTATTTCTAGCAAGGCAGGGAAAAAGTGCAAGACAGCAGACATTAAATAGTGGGATGTCAAGGTTTTATTTTCTTGCCTCTTTGAGTTGTGGAATCCTTTCCTCATTTGTGTCACCTGGTGATTAATTGCACTGATAATCTGTGTTCCTCATCAATAACTGTCTCCTACCAGTGCCAGGCAGAGGCTGTGCACTGCCTAAAGAGCTTGTGACTGCAAATAAATGAACATACATATGTGAGTAAAGGATGGGACCTCTGAGAGCATTTTAAATTGTCAGAGGTGCAGGCTCCTTTAATAAACTAATGCTCTATAAGTAGTGGCTGCAACTCCTGAATGCAGTTCCCTCGCTAGTGGGGAAAGAATGGGACCATTTCTCTGGGGCAAACCCTAAGCCTTGGTCAGTGGAGTGAAAAGTGAACCTTAAGGGATCATAAAAGGTGGGAGCTTTACAGCCTGAGTGGGCCATCATCAGCAGATGGAACTGCCTATGCAAAGCTCTTTAGGGTGGGACAGCATGGAAGGCAGGGTCTGCTCCCCTGGCTCTTGCTGGGATATAATTATGATTCCCTCTGCAAGTGCTAGTGAGTCTTTGACCTCTCCCTGATGTGTGCTGGATTTTATTTTTCCATTCTAGCCTGACCAGTCCTTGGAGAAAATCAAACTCAATTAATAGAACTATAAAATATACTGAATTAGAAGGGACCCATCAGGATCATTGAGTCCAGCTGGCCCTGCACAGGACACCCCAATCACATCCTGTGCCTGAGAGCATCGTCCAAATGATTTTGAACTCAGACAGACTTAGTGCTGTGACCAGTTCCCTGGGGAGTTCCAATGCTGAGTGCTGTTCCAGTGCCCAACCACTCTCTGGAATAAGAAGTTTTTTCTGATACCTCCCCTGACTCAGCTTCAGTCCATTCCTTTGGGTCCTGTCAGTGGTCACCAGAGAAGAGACCAGTGCCTGCCCCTCCACTGCCCCTCATGAGGATGTTGAAGAGCACAATGAAGTCTCCCCTCAGTCTCCTCCAGGCTGACCAGACCAAGTGACCTCAGCCCCTATACAAACAGCTTCCCCCTCCAGACCCTTCACCATCCTCATGGCCCTCCCTGGGACAGTGCAGGAGCCCCAGGGCTGCAGGCAGATCTGCTCTGGCTGCCCGTGTCTAGTGCATGGCCTTGACCATCCTTTAATGATGCAGAAAGAGCATTACCAAGCACATCCTCATGCTTCTGCTTCCCTTTTTCCAGAGTGTCTGGCGGAGAGCTCTTTGACCGCATTGTCGAGAAGGGGTTCTACACGGAGAAGGACGCCAGCACCCTGATCCGGCAGGTCCTGGACGCTGTGTACTACCTGCACCGCATGGGCATCGTGCACAGGGACCTCAAGGTACGGCCACAGTGCTGCTCAGCCCCTGGGCAGGGCTGGTGAAGGCTGGGTAATGGTGTGAGGCTAACAAACACGCTGTTTCAGTAAGGTTTTACCCTAGCAGAGATGCTCCAGAGCCTTCCTGTGTTACTGGTTTTAATGAGGACTCTGCAATCGGGGCAGTTACAGCTGGAGTTTTGCACATATGATGTGAGGAAAAGCCGTTAAGATCCAAAATGTTATGTTAAGGCAGAAACCCCATCTCAGCTGAGGTGTGTTCACTGCTGTAAAGTATTTCGCAGGTTTGCTGTGCTGTATTTACTTTTACTTAATAATAACTGGTAACAATAGTGGGGTAAAGTTGAGTGATTTCCTGTCAATTGGAACAGTGTTTTTCAGACACTGTTAACAGCAAGGGTTCATCTAAGGACCATTGTGTGCCAGTGTGATATTTGGATGATTTTCCTTTCAGCTGCACCATATTGTCACATCTAAACCTCTCAGCTTTTCAGGTAAAAAAAAACAAACCCTAAACATCATTGTTTCATTGTTTTCTTCCACTATCTTAAACTGTCATTAAGACATACAGAAAGGCTTGGATTTGATAGGACTTTAGTGTTTCAAGTAATAAATTAGAAGAAGACACTAGAAAAAGATACAAATTTCAAAAGAAAACTCTGGGTTCAGTTCCTGAATTAGTTAATTCTGCCAAAATTTACTGCCAGAAATGAAGACTTCAGTGATGGAAATAGCACCTCTGGTTGTGTTCTGGAGGGATGCTCCAAATGGCAGTTTCCTTGGATGTTCAGGCAGAGTTTGTATTTTCCCCCTGTAAAGAGAGTGGAATTTGGCTACATGTTATGAGCCTTATATAAGCCTTATAAAAAGGCTTGATGAACATTAAGGGAGTCAAGAGGCACTGCAGTCCAGTCCAGACAGTCCCAAATAATGGGTTTCCTGTAAGGAGGCACTGGTTAGGCTTCCATCTCCTACAGTCTCCACATCTTGCCCTTGGTTCCTGATAATTTCCTGACTTTATACTGAAGTACATAGAAATATTCTCATATTTATAAAAGCTCCACAGAATTCCAATATGGAAGTGCTGTATTTTAACACGAGCATCTTAGTCCCAAATTCAACTTTTAGGAAATAACTTCAGACTTCTTTCTGCCACCAGCATTTTTGGAGGGTGGTCCAAGACCTCCTAATTCAGATATTCCATTGTACAAGGTCTTGGTATTCTTTTCTTTATAATGTAAAGCAAGTTATACCTCTCATTTTAAAAAATAATCTTATTTTAAAGTTCCTGTAATAAAACATGGGATATGGTGACTTGGGAATTAAATTCATGTACAAATTACTTTCAGAGGTTATGTAAGGCCAAGCTGAATTTAGATCAAACCAACCTTCTCCAGTGGTATTTTGTAGCAGAGTAGCTCTTTTTCTCTCTTTTGTTTGCAGGTTTTTGTCAGTACCATACCAATTGTCAAAATGACTCATAAAATACAGTATATGAGGAACACCTGCTGTGAATTTCTGTTAGCAAAAACATACTATGATGAGAAAAACAGGGATATAATAAGGCTTTTTATGATCTCAAAATATCAAAATAAGTGTAAGGCTCAAAATGAAACTATAGGAAAGAATCCACTCTACAAAAATACAACCCATGAAACATCCATAACAATTATTTATTGTAATTATGAGTTTATTCAGATACCAAAATAGTACTTGCTGTAGTTGGTAAAAGCAGGTCTGGGCTCCAAGTCTATGATCTAAGTAATGCAACAGCAGATTAGAAGTGATGGCAGCAGGTGATGTCCAGGGGAAGTTCAGGATGCACAAAAGGACTGAAAGGCTCAAGTAGCTCCACTCGGTACAGAGCCACCTTGTTAATGTTTTTTGAATTAACCAGCTTGAGGAAACAGTATTCTTTTAAGCAAGCTTGACCCTTAAATTTGTGGGTTTCTTGGCTTTACTAAATGTGAATATGTGGGAACATGAGGTGAGTTAGCAGAATTGGTTAGGAAATAACTGCTTTTCCCTTAATTCCAAGTCTACCAACCCCTCAGCAGATCATAAGGGCAGCAGTAAAAATTAGGAGTGACTCCAGCCTAGGACAGAACATGGCATGAAACTGCAGTCCCTAAAACACTATAAGGACTCATTAAAGCACTGGACTTGCAAGGTATCATGAGAAAGAAACATAAATGGTAAAACTTAAATTATTTTTAGGAAGCAAATTGTTTCTCTTTTTACCTCAGCCCTGCTGGCCCACAGCTGTGGCTGTGGCTTGCAGATCCTCTCGTGGCCATTGTGTCCCATGTTTCCACATGTCCCATGGGTAAAGCCATCGCTTGGTGCTGGGCATGGGGAGCCAGGAAATGCTTTAACCTCCCGAATGGGAACATCACCCTCCAGCACTCTCATCCCCCCTTTCCCCAGAGCAGATGGAGAAGCGAAGATGGATGTTGCTGCTGCTGAACTGCAGTTTCTCCTCCTCACAAATCCAAGCTTGGATGTGTCCCAGGGAGTCTGAGGATGTTGTGTGGCCGCAGCTGCTCCTCACCATTTCCTGGAGCACACAGCAGGCTGTGTCAGCATTTGTACCAGCTTTGGGCAAAAGACTCCACCAAGGCTATTTGGAAACTTTGGGCACCCATCACTTTTATAGGTGAAGACCCAAAGGTCCAGGACCCATTGCCACCAGGCTGAGTGCTGCAGGTGTGGACCCTTTCATGAGCCCAGATGTTGAGTAGGGGAAGAGCTGGGCTGTCCCAGCACCCAGCAAGAGCTTTGCTGTGCAGCAGCAGCACATTCAAAACACATGGCTGGAGCAGGACTGGCTGGAGCAGATGGAGGCTGGCTGGGCTCTCCAAACTGCCTGACTCTGGTATAAAAAGTCACAGGGCTTTGTGGAATGATCCTTGTTTTCTCTTGCCATAAACAAGTTGCTGTGCTTAGTGCTATAGCACATTTTCCCTTCAGCATTTTTTCCTAATCAGCTCTAGCTGAAATATCCTTGCTTCAAGTCTGTTAACTGTAAAGGCATTTCCTCTCTCAAAATAGTTTGTTTGCAGTGAAGTTACAAAAAATTCTCTAATATCTTCCGTTTCCCTTCTTTTTTTCAAATACTAAATAAATTTTTTTAGTATACTATCTGTATTTGCCATATTTCCCTGCTTTCAAATGAATCCTTCTGTTTCACCACTTGGAAGGGAAAACATGTCAGACGTATCTCACAAGTAAGGGATGAGCTTCAGGTCTTATTTGAAGTGTTAGAGGAGAAGTTTGTTATCCCAGAAAAGTTCCTTAAAGCTCAGGGTGTCAGAGTGTTCCATTTGTTACGATACAGGAGTTTGAAGAGGATCTCCATGAAGGTTTTAAGAGTAAAGTTTTACTCTTTAGGCTTAGGGCAACTGAATTATATTTCTTTATGAAGTGCAATGCATGGGTCAACAGGTGTTGTTACTGAATCTACATATTCAAAACTCACTGTGCTTATTCTCCCTTCTAGCCTGAAAACCTGCTTTACTACAGCCAGGATGAAGAGTCAAAAATCATGATCAGTGACTTTGGATTGTCGAAGATGGAGGGTAAAGGAGATGTGATGTCCACAGCCTGTGGAACTCCTGGCTATGTTGGTAAGAGGTTTGCTTATATTTTAGTGAAAATGAAATAATACTAATTTTCTGGTGCTGGTACATGGTGCATATGAGATTTTGCAGATATTTGTTAGATTTTAATGTTTGTCTGTGCTTTGTCTTGTGTGCTCTTCCCCTTTGGGGTACAATCCTGCAATCCAACTCTGGGTTTGTGGGATTCACTTTCAGGTTTTCAGCCCTTTGTGGAATGAGTGTTCTCAAACTGACACTGCTTTAGCTACACCAGGAGCATGTGAGGAATAGCCTCAAATGTATTTCTTCTGCAAGCACCTAGAAAACCAAGAAGCTTTACCTAATGAAAAATATAATTTTAATCATAAGGAATAGCATTTGCCAGGTTCCTCTAATAGAAGACAGTAAAATGAAAGGGCAGCATTAATTCAAACATGTTCGGTAATCCACCTTTACAATCACATTAAGTTACTGACTCAGATGTCAAAATGCAAAAGCTTGTTTAGATTCTTGGGCCTTCCTGAACATTTTTTTCTATCATTTATTCTGTGCTCTTCTGTCCATTGGGTAGTGATTGTACAAGGCTACCTATTACCAGTATGTTTACCAGCAGCCTTTAAAAACAGCTGAAGTAGCTGAAAGTGAGCATTAGATGGCAGGTGGTGATGAGGTCTGTTTGAGCAAACATTATTTGAAAGGCTCCCTGTGTGTATGAGACATCCAGCAAACCTGTGCCTCCTGCCACTCCAGGATCATCAGCTGAGCTGGGAAAACTAAACTCTGGGGTATCCATGAAATCCATGAAACTGACAGTGGATAGATTTGTCTCAGATCTTTCCAGCAGAAAAGACTGGATGTTTTCCACCTGTCAGAACCTCTTTTTCCTTTGCAGCTGCCACCTCACCTGTTTTAGTAGTTCTGATGATATCATGGTAAACAACTCAGATTAGGTGATTATGACACAGTGATACGGATTTGTCACAGGTACATTTTTCTGGGCATTATCTTCACACTGTGCAGACACACTCCATCCCAATAAAATTGAGAAAAGGAACAGATTTCTGTGCTTTCCTGTTGTGGAGCCATCATCCCATCACTGTTTTATTTTAAGACATGGGCCAGGATGCACTGTGAGTAGCAGTCTTGTTTAATCACACCAGACTGGAAATCTTCTTCCAGAGCAGTAGCAGGAATTGAGCTGAGACAGCTATTTTCATAACTTTTGCTGTCAGCTCTTCTGTCCTTATCAAACACGTTTTATTTTGCTCTGAAATGGGCACTGACTAGTATGAGTCTCGAGACACAGGAGAGCTTAGATGATGTTTGCTGAAGTGCTGGTGAAAATGAGGGAGTGACTGCTTTGTCTCAAAGTGATCTCCTGCAGCCTCTCATCATTGTTATTTACATTGGGAAATTTGCTGTTTTGTAGAGGAAGCTCTTGGAGCCTGTGGCAGGAGCTGTAGTGCTTTGAGAGATGTTTGAGAGCTCTCATTACCCATGGTCTGGCCTCTGATGGCTGCACAAGTTCCTCTAGGCACGCTGTTACCTTGCTGAACACAGGATTTACTCATCCTGGTTCAAGAGGTCATGACCACTTATTTCTGAAGTGCTGACAGGACTTTTCCCCCTCCTTCACAAAGAAAACAGCTTTAAATAATTTTTTTTTTTTCCTGCACAGGACTCACCTCCCTTTTCTACTGTACTCTTTTTAAAAAAGATAATAGGTTGCTCAGATAATGTTTTCCAAGCAGAGAATATTTTTGTTGCTGGTCCTGTGGTGATGCCCACAAATGGTCCTCCTTGAGTGTTACTCCTGATGTTGTGGTTGTCTGCAATTTGCCCACACCCAAAAGTTTTCATGTCTTCCTGTGTCACTCCTTGCAGCACCTGCCAACTGCCCTCAAATCAGTGGAGGAGTCATTCCTCCTAATGGCACAGCAGGAGTAAAAGTCCTCAGCCTGGCATGGGTAGGCAAATGCCACAGTCCCAACCTATGAAGCGCCCTGTCTGCTACCTCTTTTTGTATTTTGCTTTTTCTTTCCCACGAATTTTACCTCAGGTTAAGTAATACTCAGAGATCCATCACTTAAAATTCATTTCTTGGTGCTTTTCTACAGAGATAGGTAGAACACCCTATTTTCTAAGATCTTACTAGAATTGATTATTTTTATCAGTTTCCCCACTTTGCTTTTAAATTGCTGGAAGAGATTTAGGCACATATCACATGTCAAAGGCACTCAGGGCTCTGTTAAGAAGTCATTGGATCTGTTACTATTTATACTTTATCTCCAGAAATGGGTCCAGTCAGATCCCACTTTGCAAAGTGCTGGACAAGCTTCTGACTCAGAAGCAGACCTGATCTTAACTCATGTCTGCTGCCCAAGTATTTGCAAGGATGCAACCCCCCTGTCATTTCTGTCTAATTTCCCTGATCAGGATATAATTTCACCTCCTAGTGCTTCATTTTTTGTCTCAATTTTTCTTATTTTCATCTGCAAAGAACAGTAGTATCCATGACACTGTTTATGTGGTCTGGAAATTTATTGAATAAGGAAGGGTATAATTATAATTAAACTCCTTAACTAATATCAGTTTTCTTTCTGAAAATCAAAATATTACTTCTCAAGTTAGACTGTATCTAAACTGTGCATGACCAGTAGTGCATTAGCACTTCAGCTGTTAAAGCTCTGCCTTACAGATTAAATTACTGTCAAGAGTTCTGAGTTAATATTTTTTCAGGAATCTTCTCAGAGATTTTGGACTTGTGATGAAAAGCTGATGGTTAAAATAATTTAATCCAATTATCTGAGACACTTTTCTTAAGAGGCCAGTCAAAATATTTGCTTACTGAAAAGGGGATCTGACAATACAACCTCTTTAAGAAGGTCTTGGCATTTTCTTATCTGCTTAGCGTTCTTATCCCCATTTCTTATGGAAAGAGTCTGGGTGGTGAGCTGGGACTAGACACACAACTTTTAGATGTCACCTGAATTGTGATAGGTGAAAGGTGAGGCAGCTTGTGTGGCTCATTTCCCTGCAAATTAGTGTGAGGACTGACCTGCATGGGTCTGAACCCACTGTCTAATGTGGAGAAGAAAACCCTGAATGATGTGTGTGATTACAGGCAGGATCCCAATAAGCCATTACTGATTTATAATTTTAAACATCATGAATTTGGTCTGACCCAAAACAGCTCTTGACCTTATATAATAACTCAGTTTTGATGTAGGAGCTGTTCAAACCTGCCTGAAAATGAGCCATCCCTGAGGTGTGTGAAGCTGGGCACATTCCAGGAGGTGACTCCAGACATTCAGCAAATTATTCTAAAGAGATTTTGGATGTTTGGGAACTGGGTCTCACTGAGTGACTTTTGGTGAGAGGTGATCCCTCAAAAGCTTTTGTTATTTCTGCAGATGAAACTTAGATTTTTGAGACGCTTTAAAATTCAGGAAAAAAATGTTAGAAAGCCTTTCTGCTTTCTGCAGTGGTAATCTGCACTCCTTTTGCAGAAACACTGAATTATGAGCTGTGTTTGTGGCTGACTAATATCTTAATCCTACTGAGATTTAAAATTCTTGCTCTGAGTCCCAATCCCTCTTCAAGTAAAACTTTCTTGTACTTCCCTGTCATACAGATTGGGCTGGATCCTGGATATGTGGCTGGTCCCTGTACACCCCACCTCACTCACTGTTTTAATTTTCTGTAGTGCTTTTATGAAAGTTTTCACAACTTTCATCTCTGCTCTGCCAAAAATGTAGTAGTTCCAGATCTCACCAAAGCCATGTGTTACTCTTAGCCCTGTGCAAGACCACAGCATTTAAGTAAGCAGTAGATTTCCATGCTGAATTTTGACCTATTTGATATCCTTTGATTCAAAGGTTGGAAAATATTCAATAAGCTTTCAGAATATGTTTATTAGCAGTAAGCTACCTCAGGAGATTTTAGGCAGTATCATGAGTAATCAAGTAAAAATAAACAGAAAGTCAGCAATACAGCACTGAAAACCGTGCTCTTCTTCAGCATCAGCCTCAAACTTCAAATTCTTGGCCAACCAGAACAAGACGAACACTGGAGGAATGTTTAAAAAAATGGGAAAGAAGTTGTTTTCACCCCAGGAGTCAGTGGAAGAAGGACTCTGGTCTTGTGGTGAGGCTGCTTCATGTGCAGCTCAGCCTGTTTGCTCTGTGAGGAGGGTACTTCGTAGATTTTGACTTTAGGAAAGAGGCTGGGTTGGCCCTTCGTGTGCAGTACATACTGTTATGAGGAACAGGCACCCTCATGATTTGTACAGTGTGATCAACAGGCTTAAATTGCCAGAGCAATCCCCATCACCTGAGCTCTTTGCAGGAACATGGCACGCTGTTTTTGGCACCCAGCAGCTGCATTTTTAGGGAGCTTATTATCATAGCTGTGCTTTCTGAGGGCAATGGCATAATGTTCTGAAAGAGTTCCAAACGGTCTGGTCTGTACTTTTTCTTAAAACCTCCATTTAAAACAAGCCTTTGGATTTTTTCTCTTATTAAAAGCAAAACATAACCAAAAAAAACCTATCTGTAAGACAGCAGGGTCATCTGGCCTAGGGACATATATCTTCATGCACCTGAAGGTGGAATGAGCCTCCAACTTGTACCCAGCACTGTGGCAATGCTGATTTGGTCTGAAACACCTACCTGGATGTGAAGGAAGGGTCTGGGTTTATTCCACTGATTTCCCTGTCTGGATGACCACTGTATATGATTTGAGCCCAGGGTGACTCCCTGGGGATGTGTGAACATGGAAGCCTTTGCTCAGCTGGCATCTCCCCACTGCCAGAAATGGGAGATTTGGCTTTCCCCTTCTCCTTTCTTGCTGTTTTGTCTCCCCAGCTGTCTGTGTTGATCCTTTAATGCTGTCAGCTCCTGGATTTTTCTCGTTGTGTCTCCTGCTTTTGCCTCTTGGCACGGATCTGCCATCATTCCTGAGAGCTTCTCTGACTTGTTTTTCAGCTCATTAAATATTTCCGTCTTTTCCGTATATCAGAGCCAGATGATGCTGAGCTATGTCCTCCTGTTCCTGCTGCATGTCTGCTTATTGCAACCAAAAAAAAAACCCAAAAGCAGCCATTTGGACTTAAAAGAAGTATTTAAACCTCCTACCTTTCTTCACTAATGCTTACCCTGTATTGTTCTTACCTGTTTCAGAGCTATCAGTGCTGCTCACTCCTTTAAAACAGAGATGCCCAAGCACAGCTTTGATGTTTTAAGAGGGAAAATCTTTATATAGTTCACATCCCCTCATCTCAGAATTGTTTTCTGTTATGTTAATGTGGCATATCTGTATAATGTCAGAAGCTCACTGGTGCACAGCAGCTATTTGCATAATATTTTCTTTAGGAGCTATGAGATGTGTAATGTTTACCAGTCTCGAAAGTTATGTAAACAGATGCAGACAGCCAAAGGTAGAAGAGAATTTGAATAAAATACTGGAAATTTAGAAGAACTGGAGAGTTGGAAGGCATCTAAGCACATAAAGACAGGCAAACATTAACTCCCTTCTTCCTCATATTTTGTCACAAATTTCAATTACAAAGGATGTAACAAAACAAAAAGTCTCATTTCTTACACCGTGGTCCCAATTTCTAATTCACATACATTCTTCTTGTTCCATACCTTGCTGGCAGTATTGACCTTGGTTTTGTTGGCTTGTCTGGATTAAGAAGGTAAGTCTTTGAAGAGTCCTACCTGTACAACAGAGAATAGGTAGCAACTAAATGTGGGGCTCAAGTTTGAGTACATCTCTGTGCTTCACAATTTTTTTGCCCTTCTTCAAGTAGCTAAGTGTTTTGGTGTTGCTGAGACTCCTAGCAGAGGAAGGTGTGACTCCCAAGAAATATTTTTGTTGGGACTTGTCACTTCATTACTTTTTTTCCCAGCATTTGAATTCGAAATTACTCAAAGGAAATACTATACTTTTTAAAACCCAGCATGGCAAGTTTGCTTTAGGAATGCCACAGTCAGTGATTTCTTGCATTATTGTGAATGTTTTGCTTTGAAAAGGCAAAAGCTTCTTTACATGAAAAAGATTAGGGTCACAGGGTTTTAAAATTTCAGTTTAAGCATTTGCACTGCAAGGTCCCAACAGGGAAAACATAATACTTCAGGATGCCAAACAAAAAACACATCTTTTTAAGTCTCAGTAGTATAAGATAGTAAAACAGATCCACAAAGAGTTTTGATAAATTCCCAGGCTCTTGCTTCTAGCAAAATTCAGGCTATGGTGGCTGTATAGAGGCAGGAGGCTTGGTTCCTTTGTGCACATATCCAGTTCCTGCTGCTTTTCATTTCTCCCTCTGAGGTGTCTGTGTTCCCAGAGGCAGAAGGACAAATGACTCCCTCTGACTCTGACATCCAGCAGGCCTTGGAAGGCAGCTGCTGAAAGAAGTGGTGACTGCTCTCCTTCCTCTCCTGCAGATGTAGCTTATCTCCTCCCTGGCTCGCTGCCCTTCCTGAGCTGCCTCTGGAACTCCCTCTCCAGCAGCACGATGTGGTGGAGCTGCGATGCTGTCAGGGAGAATGTGCGTCTCTGCACCCATGCAAAGCTTGGCCTCATTTTCCTCCTAAACAGGGAGGTGATGGCCCTCTGCCTCTCATGCATTTTTCTGTGCTTTGTTTTGTTTTCTGTGCCTGGAGACAAAAAAAATGTGAATTTACTCTACTTTAGGAGTCATCCATTCTCATGAGAATATGACCTTCAAAAAACTCAGGACACATTTGCAAACACAAGGGCTCTATGTGGAGAGCAAAACAAGGTCTTGGGGGTCTTCAAGTTACCTTTTGACCATATTCAAATGTCTTTTCTTAAAACATGTGCTTGTTTTGGTTTTTATTTTCAGCTCCTGAGGTGCTGGCCCAGAAGCCCTACAGCAAAGCCGTGGATTGCTGGTCCATCGGGGTCATCGCCTACATCCTGTGAGTACCTCTCCAGTTTCCAATGCTGGCAGCTTTGGGACCTGCAACTTGCTCTCCCATCATGGAGTTACCATCTTAGTCTGGGGCAGAATAACTAATTCCTGGCACTTGGACACCTCCAGGGTACATTTAGGTACCCTAAAGGCTGAAATCTGAGCAAAAGTGGTAGGAAATGGACCAATACCCTTCAGCTGTCAAAATCTTTGCTCCCACCAGAACTATCCTGTGTTCAGCAGTGTGGGTTTGTCCAGGTTGTGACATTATTGAAGTTCTTGTTGTTCCCTGCTCAGACTGGCTTTGAGAAGAAAGAAATCTGGCTGTGTCCACTGAGCTGCCACAGAGACAAATGTCTTTACTTGACAACATTACCACTGCTTAATTTTTTTTTTATTTTTCCTTTTTACACAACTGTCACAGTTATACAAGACTGAAGGAAAAAGCAGCTCCAATGAGGCACAGCATTAAAGCATTCCTACTTTGTTCTCCTTTTCCTTATGCAGACATTTCATGGCTTGTCAACATGAATAACTTTTTGATGGTGCTGTAGAACTATTTTTGCCAGGACAAACCTCATTGCTGTGCTATCCACTTTGTGCAATGTTCATTCTTTACATTTGCATTAGATTTGCATAACTTATACACTACCCAAAACAGGAAGGTTTTGTATTAAATAGTATAGGAAGGCAGCTTTGTTTAGTGTGTGTTTATTTATTTAAACCAAAATCCTGCCTGAAAACATTAGTTTTATAGCTGACTTTTTTGAAAACTTGTTGAGTACAAAACTTACATGGGAATAGATTTCTTTTGGAGCAGCCATCAATAGCAGGATGCAAAAAGCTTTTGCTACACAAAGCAAAAATCAACAGTCCTAATTCTGACTTTGTTTCAAAGCCCAGCAAGACCTGCTACAGCAGTGAGGAAGAGACAGACATGCCAAAACACCTTGGAGGCTGCTTCACAAACCATTCCCTAGTGCTATTTTAGATGAGGATGGTGCTGACTCAAAGTTACCTTTTTTCCCAAACAAATCTGATATGGAAGTCCTAGGGGTTGGGATTTCTGACATTGTCAGTCCTTGCCAGCCATGGCAGGACACAGTTGGAATCTTTTCTGATGCTCTTTCAGCACTTTGCTGAGTACCAGCTTCAGAGAGTGGGAAAAGGAGGATGCAGGCAGGAGATAGCACCAGTCTGCCTCACATCCAGGCTCAGCCACTGCCTGGCTTCACTTTATTGCCAAATATCCACTACGAAAAAATGTGTCCATCTGGCAGCCCATGGGCAATGTGTCCTCCACACCCAGTTTATGAACACTTCATCAACAGGTGGAAGACTTTAATCACCTCCATAATCTTTTCCCCTTCCTAAGCAAGGCTGCTCTTTCTGCAAGGTTCAGCTCTTGTTTCCTGCTCTGTTTTCCAAATCAATATATCCTCATCTTGTCGAGCCCGGCATGCACACTCCTCAAATTCAAATTCCCTATTCGCTATACAGGGAATTCCCAACCCAGAAGGCTTAAATCATCTCGCTAAGAATTAGCCTCTATGAATTCCTGTTTGCAGGACAAGGAAACCTTTTCAGAGTTTCTGTGCTTCAGGTAATAAGGTCTTGATTTGTATTTTGTACAGCCCAAATAAGCAGCAATAAAGCATTGCTGTAGAAGGAGCCTGTTAATGTCTTTGCCAGACTGTTACAGCTTGGGTGGGATTGGGTCTGAGACCAAACCAGTTATTTCAATGTGCAAGCCACATCCTTCAGCTCCTGTAGCAGTCAGCAGGACTCCAGGGCTCCCTTTTGTTAGCATCAGGGGCTCTGTGCACTCCAGCTTCTCCAGAGGCACTGGGCACCTCAGCCCAGCCTGAGTGGATGCAAGCAGACATTTCACCAGGGTGGGCTGTTCAGTTACCTAAACTTGCACATCTAGTGCCATGCTGGGGGGTCCAGGGCAGCCACGTGGATTTGGAAAATATAATACATTGAAGAGACTTCCTTCTGGAGAGGCAGATGGATCCAAGCTGGAGACCATGGACCATGTCAAACAGCACCAGATGCTCATGCTGAGGTGCCTGGATCACACCCTGCTCCCTGCTCAGAGCACTGCTTTCACAGTGTGAATTCATCTGCTCTGTGGTACATTTATGTCACTCTCCAGCCTCCCTTGACTCCATCTCTGCTAAGTGCAATGTGATCTCAGAATCCCATGTGTCCTTGTCTTGGTCTGGATCTCATCCTTGCTTCCAGGAATAGCCAGAAGTTGCAGATGTGGTCCCTTAAGAAAGAGAGAGGAGGAGGGTCCTTTCCTAATCTGGAGGGAATTAGCCCTGGTGGGGTGTCTGATACCACCAGTGATGGGTTTGGCACGTGGGTTTGTGGTCTCAGCAGTGCCACACCACCAGAGGTAGCAGTGCCAGCGGGGGCTCCCAGTGGGACGTGGCACTGAGATGCCACAAGACCAGCAGCACAAGGACCTGGTGAAATGCTGGGAGTTAAAGCTGCCCTAAGCAGGAGTTACTAGCTCCAATATGTAGCTGTACCCATTTGGATATGCCATTTCCAGCTCCACAATCAGCACAGCTGGAGCTACCTGCACATGCCTAAACCAGTTGGAGATGCATTTTTGCATAAGGCAATCCAAGCACAATGTCTTGCCTGACCTCCTCAGCTCTCCTGCAGATCCTCACTGCCACTCTGGGCAGACTGTCATCATTTAAGATGGAAACTCAAAGGAAACCCACACAGAAGCCAGGCATAAATTAAAGATGCTTTGAGCTAATATTACTGCGAGTGGTTTGAGTGCCTCCAGACCCAAGCTCAGTCTCACTTGAGAGCCCTCAGTTTATGACACTGGAAGAACAAACTGTTTCTGTGGCACTGATGCTGTAGAGAAATATTTGTTTCCATGATATTCAAGGATGTCTTGGGAAAGAATACCTTTGTTTTAGTGCCAGTCTCTAATGCTTCTCATTAATGACAGCCAGATTGCAGAGGCCGCACCAGAGGAGTTTTTATCAAAACCTGTTTTGCATGAGAAGTCATTATTCACAAAAACTAATTTTAGAGCCTGAAATTTCCTGTTATTCCAGTTGCAGTATTTCTCAATTTGAAACAGCCTCACTGTTGAGCTTGGCCTCCTACTTATCACAAGGTAGTTTTGATAATGTGTCCAGCTTAAAAATATAAAGCATAAGAAGAGCAAGAGATTTCACTGGATTCCCAGCAGTTGGTTTTGGGACCTTTCTGGGTCAGATAAGGGATTATAAAAGATTGGGGAACTAAAATACTGATCACATGCATACCTTATATAGAGAAGATTAGGTTAATTTATGCAAAAAATAGAAAATCATGTTTTGAAGCTGGAAAATAACCTGGGGACAGAGAATGCTCTGCATCAGGCTCTGGTTATTCATAGTCTTCTGCAATAGGTCAAACACATTTTGCCTTGAATTTTCTTCTGTTTCTATTCACTGTTTGGACAGAGAGTTACTGGTTTGTTGTTGTCTGTAAACAATTACCTATCTGGAGATAAATCTTGGATCATACTTTCACACTTTGCTGCTGAGCTGCTTTTGATTTTCAAGTAGATGTGCATGAATCATCAGTGATGTTTGTAGAGAAGGATTAACCAGGGACAGTGCAAAGTATATTATGCCAAAAGGAGTTTCCACCATCACCCTAGGAGCCATCCATTGGGAAAAAGTGGTCAGTCATCTTGCCTGCTTGGCATCACACACAAGCCTAAGCAAAAAAGTGAGGAATAACTTACTTGTTTGGCACGGGAAGGAGAAACAGTGGTGGCAGAGGACACAGGCGAGCGTTTTGGATTGCTCAGGAAAACTCAGCTAACATTGGGAAAACAAACCCAAATAATCATTCCTCATTGCTTCTCAATTTGTCTGTGATTCCCTATGCCCATATTCCTTGTCCACAGCTTTGGGGGGGCACCAGTGTCAGCCAATATGAAGGACTGTTCCCAAAATATACGGAAGTACATGTGTTTATCCCTATAAATAGCACTTGGATGACTTCCCACCTCATACATCTCAGGTCTTTGAGCACTTATTGAATTCTTTGTTCTAATCTAACTGTAAAATTGTTTTTAAAACTAACCCTGGGGGCTCTTGTGCCACAAACTGGACACTGACCACGTGAATGAGTTATTTAGCCTTTAGTATCACCCCCAATATGTAATGGGAGCTTGCAGGGGTTTGCTTTTTCTGCCTGGTGAGGACAAGATGTTCCTGCTATTCCTCTTGCGCTCTCAGGATCACTTTTAGAAATGACTTCTGGCAATATCTTTCTCTTGTGCATCCACCTGTGTTTTTCTTATCTGCATCCCATTATTTTTAAGGCAAGACTGGGAATAGGAGTTTAGGGGGAAATCTGTTGCTTATGTGATAAGGTTGCTAAATAATTCTGAAAACCTTTTATTTGGTGAAACTGCAATAAAATGATGACAACTAATAGCTGCCTGAAACTCCCCCAGGACAGTGCAGGATTTTTTCACATCGAAGACAGAGGGGTTATTTTTGCATTTCTGCATATCTAAAGAAAAGCAGCAGAACATCTGATAGTGAGGTCATTTTTCTCACACAGAAATGTCCCAGCAGATGGAAATGAAGTTGGTGGGATTTTGATTCTGTAAGAATTAACAAAAATCTCATTATGGACTTTGGAAAGTGGCCCAGTTGCTGGAAGTCCAGCAAGATTTCCTCCAGCCATTAATTGCAAGATAGGCTGATGTGCTGGGGCTTTCCCATCCTTTCTGCAAAGCCAATAATGTTAAACCTTAAGGAACATTAAAACTTCCATGTCTTCCTAAGCTCTATTTTTAAGGGAAAGGACATCAAGTCTGTACATAAAATACAGGGACCTTTGTTTTGGCTCTCAACCCATCTGTGTGCCAGGGTGCACCAATGTTGCCTCCCCACATGCCACCTCTTCTGACCTACAGGGCTTGCTCCCTTCTCACGTGCTTTCTGGTGTAGGTCCTCATTAATTTGCCTCCCAGAGGAATGCCCTTGAATCCCTCTGTGCAGGAGGTTCTTCCTATCCCTGGCCAAGCCAGGATCAGCCCTTGTCCTGTGCTCATTCGGCTCTCAGGCAAGGGGATGATTTGGGGGCATCTCCCAGTTCATGACCTGTAGTAGCAACTAACGCTTCTCAACCTCTTCCTAACAAGGGAAAAGCTGTGCCAAAATAGGCTGTTTTCTGCCCTGTGCCCAGCTCCTGGCAGTTCTGGTGCCCTCCTGCACAACCCTGTCTTTCCTTGTGCATCAGCAGTGGCTGCAGTGACCTCCTGGACACTGAGGCTGATTCCCCAGATGTGCAGATACTCAAGCCATGCAGAGGAGATGGATTGAAAGGCTCTGGAGGGACTCTTGTTGGGACTCATGTCTCTGTGCTCCCCCCTTGCAGGGTTGTTGCCCTCCAGCTCTGTTCTGCTCAGCAGTTTGCTCCTACCTTTTGCTGCCACAAGTGTGTATAAATCACAGCAGTCCTAACTTGTGCTCTTGTACCTTTGCCAAGGTAATTAGTACAGTGCACATTTGAAGAGAGTTATTTCTCTCTCCAGAGCAGCCTGCCAGTGCCTCAGCATGCACAGTGCTGTCTGCTCGCCTTAAAATGCTTTATTGGAGCACTTTGGGCTTGTCTAAGGAAAGTGCTGAGGAAGGCAAAAAATTAATGAAGGGCTGTCAGGCTTCTTACATGCAGCCCCCTGAGTCTCACAGGGAAGAGGGGACAGAGGAATGCCTTCAAGTGTTTTTTGTTTGTTTGTTTGTTTGTTTGTTGGGGGTTTTTTTCCTTTTTTTTTTTTACTCCAGCCTGTGCATCTCTACACCAGTGCTCATCCTACCAGTTGCAGTGCTGGTGCTGTCAGCTCCATCATTTCCCCTCAGTGAAGCACCCAAAATTTTGAGGGTTGTGCCAAAAGAGGAGGAAAGTGAAAATCAGTTTGTGCCCATCCCAACCCAAGAGTGAGGGATGTGAGCACTGATAATTAAAGCAAAATAAGTAATTTATAAGCTCTTCACAAATACCTGTGGAGCTGGACTCTGATTGCAGATCCAGTTTCTTCATTAAGCTATCAGATGTTTTTCCTCTGTTGTCTGTGTGGCTTTTTGGCATTTTTAAGCATTTTTAAGGACCCTTCTCATACACCACCTGCACCCCAGGGTTTCAAACATGAGCACCCAGCCCCACACACAAGGACATGCCCATTCAGGAGGTGCACGGTCCTGCTCTGGACATACACACCTGTCTGGCATGAGGTTATCTTACTGGTCTTGATAATGGCAGTCACCCAGTGGGACACAAATGAGGACTGGCTCATCTGCTCTCTGAAATAAAGAGAGAGATTTCTGGTTCAGTTGAACCCCAGAGGGTCCATTATCATGCTGCAAATTTCAGTAGAGTTCTCCCAGGTCAGTGTGGATGTGACGCAGATCAACATCTCACTCAGTATTTAAATTATTTATCAAGCACACTGGCTCTTCAGAGCTAACAAAACATTGCTCCTTTCACCCTCAAGTGTTGAGTTGGTTCAAATAACCTCCAGGGCAGCCGGCTGGCTTTGGTTATAAATAACTCAAGTATTTAATTTCTTGCAGTTTCCCCCCTTGCTCTGTTTTTGCTTCTAAGCTAGATCTACAGTCTGTTTGTAATAGCTGGCTCTGCAATTAAATGCTTTATTGAGGTTGATTGACTCAGAGTTATAAAAAACTGTAGGAAAAATATAATTTCAAAGTATGTGAAAGAATGATTTACACCATAGACCAACAATAAGAGGGAAAAAATGTATCATCTCTACAGAGAGGCAGGAAGGTCTGTTTAACTGTGAACAGGATGGGTTTGCTAAAACCTAGGGCCAGCCTCAGAGGTAAATCTGGCACTTTGCAACATTGGTGTTATAGGGTTGTTTCTGCTGGCATGTCTGTGCAGAGTGGGACAGAATACTGCCTGCAGCACCAGCTGGGTGTGAGGGATCTCTGACACACGAGTTTTATCACTGCACTTGCTTAATGCAGTGCTAGATGTGCTTTTCCCACATCCAGCCCTGCCTCAGCATCATGGTTGTCCTGCTCTGCAGCACTGGGAGGGTGCACCCTGAATGTGTTAGCTCAAACCAGGCAAATAATGCCTTCCATGTCCTGCTTGTCCTGGGGCTAGGTTTTCTGAGAAGTCTGACTATAAACACTGAAAACCAGGACAGGACTGTTGTTAGCCTCAGGCAAGGCAGGCAATTGGATGTGGTCAGCAAAATCACTTGCAGGAGAGAGAAAGGGAGAGGCTCTCCCTGTGTCTGCAGCAGGTCCATGTGCAGCCCTTGCAAGCTCTGCTACAGAGGTGGATGGGCTCCTGGGCATCCTCCTCACTGTGCCTGGGGACACAGAGCCCAGAACATCCTACAGATGTGTTATACCCTCTGCCTGAAAGCTCTGCATGGCTTCTTGTCCTGCTTTGCACCAGGTCTTCTGGATGTGCTGAGGGATTAGAGGGATGGATGCTCTGTGGTGTCGGGTTTAGCTCATGAGATCTCCTCTTAGCACTTGTACAGGAGATCATGGCAGGGGTCATGCAGGGTCAGGCAGGGGTCATGTCTGTGTAATAAAACTATTCCTCTGGTTAAGCACTCAAAAGCATGCAGAGAAAGGCCAGGATATCTGCATGAGTCAGCATGGGATCAACAGCACCAGATTTTCAGGTAGAATTCCACTTTGTCCAGGACAGTGTCAATCTTCAGAAACAAGATCCTTAAGGCAGAATATGAGTTTGACTCTCCATACTGGGATGACATCTCCGAGTCTGGTAAGTAGCTACTGCTCTTTAAATTGCAACAACCACACATGCACGTGTGCCTATTGCATGCATGCCCCTGGGGCATGAAAATACAGCCTCCATCATGTGCAGAGATCCTTTTAACTGAACACCAGTGGGACTGTGCATTTCTTTTGGCTCAAATAGTCATGGGAGTTTGTTTCTGCAGGAGACAAATGTGCATTTCTTTTGGCTCAAATAGTCATGGGAGTTTGTTTCTGCAGGAGACAAATTAGGTACTATTCTGTCCAGCCACACACAAAGCACTAAAACATAGCTCAAACAGCAGATTAAAGACAGCAGAAGACTGTTCCAAGAAGAAAAAAGCAGCTTAATTTCTTCATTGTATCCAAATGAAAAGCAGATTGTTAATGTGTCATTAATAATCAGCAGCAAACAAGTTTGGCACTCTTGCTGACACTTCACTGCAGCTCCAAAGCAAGTCCTCAGTCTGTGCAGCAAAAAAACCCAAGAAAGTAATGGCTTTCAAATGAGGCAGGTGAGGAAACTGGAAGGACTGTCCATGTGTGTGGATGTTCCCCACCCAGTGCAGGAGACATTTAACCCATAGTACCCACCTGGCCCAGTCAGCCTGGCAGAGGGGCAGGTACACCAAATGTGCTACAGGCAGATGTTCCTAAGGGCTTCTGGCTCCAGTGTGGGTCTGTGTCTAGGGGTGATAGCAGGGGACATTCAGCCTTGCACCTGCATGTGTCCCTGACATACTGTGCAGTTTCCACCCAAGCTCAGTGTCCTTGCTCTGTCCAACCCAGGAAAACATCTGCTATTTCATGCAGAAGGAGAAATTAATTCTATGAATATTCCATCATGTAAAAATATCCCTAGAAATGCAGTTTACTGATTTATTAGTGCTACTGATTGAGGCAAGGGAGATAAAAATTGAGTGTTTTTATTACAATGATGATTATATATTCTCTTATCTCCATGAAGAGCAACATTTTATGCTGCTTACATCTGCAGTCCAGATATCATTGTGATGGATTGCTCAAAAATATATGTGATGAGAAGTTTTTTTAAACTAATAAGGATTTTCAGAGAAAATATGAAGGTCTGTTGGCAGACCCTTCTGCCTTGTGGTGGAAAGTCCATCACCTAAATCAGCACAAAGATTTTCCTGCCATATTTGGCTTTGCTGTGGCTCCTTCAGCTCCACTGTCCTGAAACTGCTGGATGCATGCCACGCTGCAATCTCCATTCCTTCCATTATAGATTAAAAACACACTGCCTCCTGCTCCAGGGAGTCCATTTTCCTTGCTGAATTCCTCTTAAATAGGCAACACGTTCTTACAGCTGTCTGTGTGTGTGACTGCTTGGAATGAGCAATGTGAAGCTCCTCTTACCGTGGCATCTGACCTCCCCTCTCTCCACTCAGCTGACCAGACCAGCACATCCCATGGATGTGGCCACATTCAGACCACGAAGATGATGTAGCACATGCTGACCAGGGACCCAGGAGCTGGCAGGGTTGTACTCTGCTGACTCTGAATTATCCATCCCACTCCTAAATAGACCTGCAGGAGTATGTGCCTTCAGCTTTTATCTGCTACACTAAATAGCTTGGATTTGGTCCTAAATCACTTTGGTTCTATCTATCCTAATAAGTGGCAAATGGCCCAGGGCCATTTTCTTGTGCTGTGGCCAGATGGCACTTGGTAGCCTGATCAGTGCTGTTGGCTCATCATGTAGCAGCAGAAGTGGGCATCAACTTTATTGCTTTCAATAATTCTCTCTTTTTTTTTTTTTTTTTTTGCAGCTAAAGACTTTATTCGGAATTTGATGGAGAAGGACCCTAATAAAAGATACACCTGTGAGCAGGCAGCACGGCACCCTTGGTAAGCAGCACTCACTGCTCTGAGAAACCCTCAGGACACAGAGCACCTTTTTACATTACTGCGTGAAAGTGGTTTTTCTGTCATATATTGTCATATATACTGACCTCTACTACATAACTCTGTGCTTTTATTCTTACAACCCTTGCCTTTGTCCTCCAGATTTTCCTGGAAAACTGTAATGGACTTCAGTCTCATGCACCAACCTGTGTAAGGATTAGTAAAATGCTGAATTATGTATGCTGACTGTAGTGCAGAAGTGGGATGTGCCAAAATGATTAAAGTGCTTTAAGTTAAATGATGCCTTTGCATATGAGTGACTTCACCAACATTATCCAAGGTTTGTGTAGCTGGAACAAGGGTGACTTATGCACTTTTGCCCAGCCCTGAGTGACTGAGAGCATCATCCCACACTACCAGCTGCACCCACATGTGGGCTCTAACATGAATCTAACTCTTTTAGGGCAGAGGATATTATATAATCAAGGTGAGGTATTATTATTTTATTATAATTTCTGCAACAGAAAAGAGTTAATGGCATGACATTTTCACCCCAGGTGTGCATTAGACTCTGTTTTTATACTATCACAATTGCCCCAAATGCCACTTCCTTTTTCATTGTCTGTGCTACAAAAAGGAAATTTAAGAAATGAAATCCCTCTTTGTGAGATGAAAAAGAATCCCAAACTGGTTCTTAATGATACTGACCTGAGCCTCAGGAAATTAAACAAGTCAGTATTAGGAATACAGAATAAACAATGGGAGTGCAACTCCCAGCAGGGAGTGAGGTGACCATTTGTACAACTCAGAGACAGATTCTCCAAAGCCTTACATCCAAGATAAACAAAATGTAAGCATCCAGCTCCTGGCCCTGCTACGTCTTTGTTGGTGGCTGGAGTGTAACAAAGAAACGTGGCACTTGTAACACACAGAGCTTCTGGACCCTCTGAAAGGAACAAAATGATAAAAAGTGTTTTCATTCCCTTCTTTGTGTGGTTTTTGTTTTGTTTTGTTTTCTTTTGCATGTCATGGCCAAGGGTCAGTGGAAACTCACAGACTGCTACATAATTCGTACTATTTTCCACAGAATCCAATCTTCCATTTAAAAACAACCCCCCAAAAAGGTTCTTCCCCATTTCTGTGGCAGGGGGTCTTCTTCTGCCAGGCTGACTTTGCCATCCAGTGGTTCATTTTCAAGACTTTTAGTTCTGACCCAGCTCCCAGCACAGCTCAGGGTCAGCATTTGAAATGTCAGACATGCAAATGGCACTGCAGAAGGGAGGCTGAAAATATTCACCATGTTTCCACTCCACATCCTGAATCCACCTCCCTTTGACACAGAGACAACATGTGCCAGGGGATTACAGGACAGTTGTGCTGAAAGCCAGGCATGGAGGTTTCCAAAGCTATGGCTTCAGATCTGCCTCTGCCCTCTCCAGTGTGCTCCTGAGCAACACTCCATTCCCCCTTGCTCTGAAAAGCTTCCTGTAACATGGATGTTGCAGTTATGGACCTCTCTGGAGAGCTGTGCAGTGATTTTTTTTTTGGAAGGTTTGGATCCTGTAGTGATAAATGCCTTTTTGGATAATCATGGCTGCTCACCCAGATGTTATTTTGGAGTTAGTGATAGGACCTCCTTTTGCCAAAGCGTTGCTCAAGGAGCATTTTCCACCCAGATCCCTTATGTCAGGAAATAGTGAGGGTTTTACTGTTTCTTTTCTCATTCTAGCCATTACATCTATGGAAGTGACATCCTTTCCCTCTCCTGGAAGGGAGGGAAGGCTTTTTCAGTGGAGGAGGAAGAGGGTTCTGTGCTTTGTCTCAGTGGTCAGCTGTGTCCTCTCAGCCTTGGGCATATTTAAGTTTCCAACAGCTCCAGGCCTGGGTTCCTCTCTCTCATGGTTGCATTCAGTGTTGCAGCAGCTGGAGACAGGGGTACCCATGTGCAGCCAGCAGAGAGAGGCTACCACAGCTTTTGTATCCTCCCACACCCCCTTTTCAGATGAGCATGGATTTTTGATCACGAATCCCCCTCAGCTACATCACCTTCCATAGTGCCAAGGGACCATTTCTCTGTGTGTTTTCAGAAGGACAGAGGTGCATGAGACTGTTGGCTTAGTGGGAAGAGATGATCAGAGCAGGCTGAAGTGGTCCCATAAATTCTATGCTTTTGCAGAGTGCTTGCACTGCAAGCAGCCCTTGATGGCATCTCATAAAAGGTGTTTTTTTCTTGTCTTCACAAGCAACATGACTGGAGAAACATTTTTGAACCCTAGAGTTCTCATGAAGAGAAATCCTGATTCCACTGAGGCTAATGGGAGTTTTGCAGATTTCAGTGAGAGCTGGGGTTTGTCTCCTTGTTTCACCAGCAGAACCAAGGCCTCTCTGGGTCACTGTTGCTGTGCAAATGGTAAATAATTAATATATATATGGTGAGGTGGTGCCATGTAGTAACATTTTCCAGCCTTCCCTTTTTATTCCTCCTGTGAAATCTTCCACTGCAGTATCAGATCATTGGGATCTTCACAAATTAGGAAGAAATCAATCGAATCATGAATAATTAACACATATTTTATAATCTGATTGTGCTGGAAGTAGTTAACTCTGCATGACATGGCTACCAGGCCATGAGATTTTGTTGTTTCAATATGTAGTATTTGTGAACAACAAACTGATTCTAAAACACATACCTTTTATTTTAATCACCATGTTTTCATTAAAACCTTCCAAACAGAGCTTGTAGGAACTGGATCTTGCAAGATATTACATTTGTGCCTTTAAGGTTAATAATATCTCTGAATTTTGGGAAACTGCTCCAGAATAGACAGCTATTCGCATGACTAAATGTTTGCACAGGATCAGACCCTAAAAAAAGTAAATACTTCTTCCCAATGGCCCACTTTTCTGCAGTGTATCTGCTCGCCACATGCCTGCATTTACGTGATGTCTTGCTATTTATAATCAAATGGCCTTGGTAGGGGGATGGTATGTTAAACTCGGAGCTGGCAGAAAAGGAGGCTAATAATTGCAGTGAAGTATGTTAGTAGAAAGAGTACAATATGTGAGACTTGTTGGTATAATGACTCCACCCCTGTGTGTCCATTTATACAGATTTCTCCAGTTTAATATACAGGTGACTTATGCTTTCCACTGGCAAAGTTATTTTTTTTAATGTATTTTGCAGTGAGGTTTGCACTGTTTATGGTGTGTTGCAAAAGTGCCATGTTCTGCTTAGTTTTTCCCACTGTGACTTTTCAAAAAGGACATGGAAAATGAAGGTAACAAAAGAATGGGGTGATTTTGCTGCAGCTTGGTACATTTTAATGTTTCCCTGGCTCATATTAAAGACAGCAATTAGTTTATTAAATATATTGCCATGTCAGAGCTCACATCCTGTTTAGAGCAGTGATTAGGGGGGAGCAGCAGAAACTTGAGGACCTGTTTTTTCCAGCTACAGACTCGTAGAAACATAGAATATCCTAAATTGGAAGGGACCCACAAGGATTATCAAAGTGTGCTCCCCATCAGGTCAAACTAGGTCCTGCAGAGCCAAATTCAGCCTCCAGGCTCAGATCAGAGGGAAAGAAAACAGTGCTCAGAGGGTGAGGACAAAGTCCAACAGTCAGGAAGCCAATACAGAAGTTAGAAGGGCTGCCATTAATTTATTCACTCCGTCATACATTAACCAAGTGAACTTCAATGGGATTTAAGGCTGAGTGTGCTGAAGGCACTTATAGCATCAAAGGCAATTTGGGACATCTAAATTAAAGGATGATGGATTAATTGCCTCCATATAGAGATTGTAAATACAGAGACTGTAGAAGGGAAAAGGAGCTTGTGGCAGCAGTTAGACCCCGGTGTCTGCAGGTAGGAGTGTGGTCCTGGCCTTTCCCCATTGCTTGTGCAAAGGGAGAGAGGATCTTTGGGATGTGCCAACGTCCAGCCACACCTACACTGAGGAGCCACAAAGCTCTGGCAAGGACTGAGCCTCTGCAAATTGTGACCATGACTCCAAGTGTTTATTATGTGCCAGAGAGCACAAGCCAGATAATAATTTCCACACAGGGAAAGGACATGATTTAGAAAGAGCTCAGTTCTCAGACAATATTGTTTGAAGTGTGAAATGGCCTTCCTGAAGGGAACTGCTGATGTTTACAACATTAAATCAAACTCTTATTGAGTTCATCCCCACACTCTATTTATTTTGGAACATCACTGATATCGTGTGTGTGTATATGTATACACATGCATGGATATGTGTGTGTGTGTGTGTACATATAGAAGAGTTATGATCCCTCAGCATTATCCATTACAGCTAACTCCATGTTTCCTGTCATCATACTCAGGAGTATTTCCAAGCACTTTTTGGCCAGCACAGCATTTGAGTTGGCTGCCTTCAGAAGGAAGGTTCAGAAAATAATGGTAGATGAAAGGCTCTGCCTGCAGTTGTGGGCAGGGAGGATGAGAGAGACATTTGCTTGCAGCATGCTAATGAAGAACTGTCCAAAAGGAAATTTGCTGGTTTTGTCTTTGTTGGAGGTTCCTCTCAAAGCTTAGAAGTGGTATAGCCAGATAAATTGGTGTGATAAGTCTGAAGTCAGCTAGAGAGCTAAAATAAATTAGATATTATGAAATAATATTTGATCATTAGATTAGATTCCTCTCATGTGCAGGATTAGATTTGTTATGGTTATTCATGAGAAATACCCTTAGCTTCAGTGGATGTGTTTGGGATGGGGAGCCATCATTCTTGGTCTCTTGGTGTCCAATACTGTGCATTGAGATGTTACATATTTAGAACTGGATGTAAAAACAGCTTCAACATGAAGTTCCCCAAAGCATTGCTAGGGTGCAGCTGCTTTCAGGTGCTGCAAGATGGGAATCCTGAGAGAAAATCCAGGTTCCACTTGGACTAATCAGTCCTTGCTTGGTTCTGGGTGATGCTCAGCAGGATAACAGATGATGCATTATTCTGATTTGTTTAATTATTATTTTTTTTTATATGTATGTGGTAGGTAGAAGCAATGTTTTTTACTGGGCCAAGTAGGACAGTTGGTAAAAAAAAAATTCAGTGCTGACGTAGTTAACTTCAAAGTTAACTGCAAAGGCAGAAACTATTGTTCAGGACTAGATAAGCATCAGTCTGGTTAGCTCAAGTTGATTGCAGTTTCTCAGTGAAAATGGAGCTGATTTCTAGTGGCAAAGTATATGTTGTGCTTGAGAGGGAGGGGGAAAGAAAGAAAAAAAGAAAGATACTAAGGTATTTTTGTCCTAAAAGGAAAAATGAGATGGTTTATAGTCTGTGGATTTGGAGAGTTAGGGAAATGTGGGTGGGAAATTATAAATGCACTAAAACCAGTCTCTGGTAATTTCATTTTTTCTCTTCTCAGCAAGGGAACTAAAGTTTATGATTAAATACATTTGGTATAAATGTGAGGATGCTCATGATACCCCCCACAGAGTAGATCTGTGTGCCCAAAGCATATCTCATTTTTCATATCTAGTTGAGAGTACAAAGGATGTGAGTTCTCCCTGCTCACCTCCACCTTTTCCACGTCCTGAACCCCCCCACCTCCAGCACAGCACCAGCAGCAAAGGGATGATAACATTGCTCGTTTTCCTAGAAGTAAAACTATACTATAAACACTATAACACCAGGAGTATTTCATAAAAGTTGCAAAATCTTCCAAGTGCAGAATGCAGTCTGAAAGCACAGTGCTCGTGTTACAGCATCACAGCATTAACAGGGTGGTTCTTCAAAGGCGGCCTGGAGAACAATCCCGCTCCCGACTTTGGCAGCTGGGGCTGCGTTCTGAGCCACACCATGCAGCATACCAGCACGTGTTGGAACAGCTCCTGCTACACTAAATTAGCCCCAGCAGTGCTGTTATTTTGCCCTGATTAGAAACTATCATCTGCAAGGTGCTAATGTTGCTGAAGAGCTCTGAGATGTAGGATGGTTCCACTGCTGTAGCATCCGAGGGCTTCACAGGATGTCTGTCCTTCCCCTTGTGAAGTTAACAAATACTGTTCTGCCTATCTGGAAAACACCCAAATACCAAGACTTTTATCCTGGAATTGCAAGAATTGCACAGCAAGCATAGAGTTAGAGGTGGTAGCAGGCAGTTTGTGAACTATTGGAACCAGCAGTTTCTTATTGAAACCACCAGCATTTCAGAAAATGATCCCTAAACTAAAAATAATAATAATAAAAAATATAGCCTCTATTGAAGTTACACACCAAATCAAAAGCTTCATATGACAAAAATGTATTTTCAAATCCTTGTGGAAACTGGCAAGAACAATCTTCTGGAACAGCTGGCAAGGACATCATGCCCCAAGAACTTTTTCTATCTATGTTCCCAAATAAGATTTGACAGGTGGGGAGCAGGATCTCTTCTTACAGAGTTTGTTAACCAACTTGTTTATAAAGCAAAATGCGTCATTAGCTTTGGTGGAAAAATGTCCTATGCAAGTGTAAGTGAATTTTCTGTCTTTGTCTCTTTGATCAGTTACTGAAGGGATGGTTTGGCTTGTAATTTCTTCTGAGATCTGCAGTGTGACAGCCAGTGCTCCCAGCTGGTGTGTGTTGAGGGCACCTGCCTTCACCAAGGAGGTGTTCTTGGACAGAGCAGGGTGCTCGTGACATTTTGGAGTGACTCTGACAAGCAGTTTGCTTTCCCACCAGGAAACTCTGCTAGGGCTTGTCCAGGAGTGTGGAATGCTTGGGGTCCATCAGGGCCTGTGCTGAGCCTGGCAAAATTCACTGTGCAGGACAGGGGCTGGAACAGTGAACGTGATGCTTAACCCAGTTAGTGCCTCACAAAGATTTTGTTCACCTGGTCCCAGTGGGAAATCCAGGAAATCCAACATGCCTTACTGTCAGTGGGAAAGGTGATTAGAAGCAATCATCAAAGAAATATCTGAAGTTCATCCAGTTCTCAGCCAAACACCTCCCCTTCTCTGTCAGATACACAGGGACCCAGGAGAGGGAGTCAGGTGCCATCTGGGAGCTGAGCTTTGCCCAGTTCTGTCTGCCTGAGGCAGAGGCTACATGGCAGTGAGACAGGGCCCTTCCCAGCTGGGTGAGAGTTACCCTGAGCAGAACCCTGCTCCTTCCTGGCCACGATCCTACTGGCTCCAGCACTCTTGAATAACCCAACAGAGATGAGCTCAGTTGCAACAGGATGAGATTGATGGGTCTCCACTCTTGGGACATGAGGGTTTAGTCCTTCCTCCCAAGGGTAAGTCATTTCTCTCATCCCTCTGATGAAGATCCTGGGAGATTATTGTCAGCTGGAAGGCAGGCAGCAATTTGGAGAAGGCTGGTCTCAGCACTTCTTACATGTGCCAAGGACATGAAGGCAGAAAAAGCAGCATGTCCTTAGAAGAACAGGGTTACAGTCTGGAATTATCTGGGCAAAGTGAAAGGGCTGTCTCCAATGCATGGGACACATAAATGGAAGCAGCAGGCTGGGGTATGTAAGCAGAGTTTTGTCTTTTAAAAGCACAAAGCAATGCTGCCATTCTGCTGCCTTAGTTGGAAAACAGAGAAAGTTTGGGTGCTGCCCTTGAAGGAAGATGTGAACTAGCTGGAGAAAATCCAGAGGAGCTCACTAGATCAGAGGATTAGAAAACATGAGTTATGAAGAAACAGTGAAAGAATCAGTTTGTTTAGTCTAGAGAAGAGAAGACTGAGAGAAGTCATGATAACAGTCTTCAAATATGTGAAAGGATGCTTCAAAGACAAAGGGAATATTTTCCATGTCTTCTAGGAGATAGTGAGGCACTGGAATCAGTTGCCTGAGGAGTCTCCATCTTTCAGAGATCTTTAGGGACTCGTTTGTCAAATATTTGTCAAAATTGTTTTGACAGAGCTGGGGTGGGCAGAAGGATTAGATGATTGCTGAGTCCCCCAGACCTTCTGATTATCCTGTTGGAGCTCCCCAGACTGGAGACTCTGGTCCTGGTAGATTACTACGTTTCCTATAATTTTTTATTGTTAATGCAAACTGTTTTTCTTAACTGTGGCTAAAAAAATTGATTTCTGAAAGTATCACATCCAACATACAAGGTAATCTTTGTCTCCTTACATCACCTACATTAGATAGCACTCATTTCTCCAGCACATGGCCCAATGTCAGTTCACTGCAGTGCCTGCTCTTCCAACAGATCTCATGCCTTGAGGAGTTAAATGAATCAATAAAATCCCCTTGATATAATGGAGTTTAGTGAAGACTTGAATGCATCTTTATCTGTTAAAGAAACTATGCAAGATCAATCAATTATTTTAGGTTAAGTGTTGCTCAGCTTAAGCTCTTTGTGCAGTCTGTGCTGCTTCAATGAGTGTCCATGTCTCTGCTTTACTGTAAATCTACATTAATCATGATAAATGGCTATGTACATTACAGGGTAGCAGGAGAATCTCCAGTGCAGCCAGAAATCAGACAGGTTGGAGTGGCTCTGGAAGCTTCTGCATAGCTGAGGCTAAAAGTAGTCTCAGCCTGTTGATGTTAAGTCTTTGGATATAGAGAAAAAAAAAAGGTAGAATGTTTTCATCTGGGGCTGTAATGGTGATAGAAAGCAGCCATGCACCAACAAGATCAGCCCATACCTCTGTGTAGCTGCCAGACCTACAAGCCTTATCTACACTGGCTTTTATTGCCCCAAATTTTCCACCACAGCTGCCAGCAGAGACAGCCGTGGGAAGTTTGAGCCCGTCTGTGAATGAAATCATTGTCACTGCAGGTGCAGTCACACCTGGGAGCAGCCTCTCTGCTGAGAGGAAAAAGTAAGAGTATTTAAGAGGGGGAAAAGATTTCTTAAAATGTGCCTGCTCTGTCCATTTTAGGATCGCTGGAGATACAGCACTCAACAAAAACATCCACGAGTCCGTCAGCGCTCAGATCCGGAAGAACTTTGCGAAAAGCAAATGGAGAGTAAGTGACCTGTCCTGAAGGGTGACACTGACACACAGCCACCCCTGCCTCGGGGTGGTGCTTTTGTGGCCTAAAATCGTGGTCAAAATGGTCAGTCCAGGCTTAGGTTACATGACCTTGCAGGGCCTGTTATCCAGGGTGTTTGCCAAGTACCAAATGTAATGAGTGTGAGAAACGAGGCCGGGGCTGCTCATAGCTAAAGCACCCGTGGTTTTTGGTGGAGTGGGGTCAGCACCACACAGGAACATGAAGGAATGTTGGGAGAGGAATGGATTTGTTAAATATGACTTTCTTGTAGGCTGCCGCATCCCAGCGGAGCATTAGGAGAGCAAAGGTTTGATAATGCACTTTCTAGTTTAGAATTTGGGAAAAATTTGAAAGATAAGAGGCTTATTCCCTTCTGACACTCTGAGCAGCCAGGAGAGGAGCACAAGTAACCCTTCCATCTCCAATTTTTTTTTTTTTTCATGCTCGATTTCTTTCTGCCTGTTTTTCTCCAGCAAGCGTTCAACGCCACGGCAGTCGTGCGGCACATGAGGCGGCTACACCTCGGCAGCAGCCTGGACAGTGCCAGTGCCAGCGTGTCCAGCACCCTCAGCCTCGCCACGCCACTCCCCGACGCAGCCACACGGAAAGATTGTGAGTAGCCAACGTCCCAGGAAAGCTCCCACCACGGCAGCCAAGCAAATCCACGGGATCCCCGTCTTCCCTTGGGCCCCAGGCTGCAGTCCTCGCTGCATAGGTTTGGCTTTGTGCAAGCAGGCATTTAAGATTAGGATTTGAAACTGGAAGTCATTTTTGGCTGGCAGGGAAAATAGTGTTTCCATTGGAAAAGCCTATGTGCTAAAAAAAAAAAAAAAGAGATGTTTTAGCTTGGTGATTTTTGAGAGAAAACCACAGTTTCTCGTGGAGAAAAAGGGCTTTTGCTTGGGAAAAAGACCCAGACCTCCACAGTAACAAAGTGTTGCATTTGGTTGAAATTTGGAAAAGTTCACTCAAACTATTTATGTTTGAGTTTACAGTATTATGATAGGGAATTTTTTTGTAAAAATTGCCTTTCCATTTCCATGGAGAAGACTGATCCTGCCAGTCAGACCCAGCTTCTCCCTTCCTGGACCAAGTTAAGCTCCTGCACAAAGAGGTTGATTTCTCTGAGCAGGATTCAGAGTCTCTACACCATCATGGGACTTGGCCCTCTGCCATGTTTGTTTTGTGCTATAATTGATATTTGCAAGCTGCACACTGGACTCAGATGTTTGGGATATATTTTTTCTCAATGCCAGGGAAGGAAACATGGCAGCAAAGGGATTATTTGGAAGACAGACATGCATCCTTTGCAATGAAGCCTATTTATTCTCTGGCTTCTGAGCATTTCTTTTATTCTCTCCTGTCCATCTGAAGATATTTTATATCATGCAGTGGAGGGATGTGGACTTTACAGTTGAAGGGGTTACTTTTAAAGTGCAGCACTATAAAGGAATGCTTTGCTGTGGACATGAAGTAGTGATTTCTAGACTGTACCTCGCATTTTTCTGGAGCTGAAAGCACCTTTTAGGATGGATTTTGGATAATGCAGCTCTCTGCTTCTGCCACCCCTGCTTGCCTCCCCCTGCTCCTTGACAAGGACATGCCACCAGCCACAGTCCCCATGGCTCTGTGTGGAAGCTGTTTCCTCTTGCTGCCATGGGCACGGTTTCCCCCACAAACTGTGGGGTGGGTTCTGCCTTCTGGGTACACTGTGAGATATTTTTTCAGCCTGTGCTGTGGCTGAGCCAGGGGAGAGCCCCTTCCCTCTGCATACTGGGCCTGGTGGGGATTCATACCTGGTGTCCAGTTTGTGATGCCCAGTGCCAAATCCTACAGCTGCTGCCAAAAAAACATCACAGTGCTCCTGGCACACACCTGGCACCTGCGAAGCAGTGCTGCTGACCAACCTCAGAACACTTCCAACCATGCACTGGCCATGCAGCAATGTAGAAAACCCCTTGCATGGGAGAAACATCTCTTGATTTTGGTGCCTGTTGTACTATGGCAGTGCTGGACCCCAGTCAGGTCTAGAGCATCTGATGAATGCTGCTAAACTAGTGGTGATTCATGCAGTTAAACTGGTGGATGATTAATCTCCATCCATCCATTTGATTAATCTCAAATGGTGTTAATTAAAGGCAATTAGTAGTCCGAAAAGTGTTAAGACATGTGTGAACAGGAAGGGTGAGAAGAGAAAGAAATCTGTTCAACCACTACAGAACCAGCAGGTTCCTGTGCAGAATCCAACCATATTTTACTGTGGTGCAGTCAACCAGGATATGAAGGATTAAACTAGATGTGTTAAAATAGGATGAGTTTTTACATGCCAGAAATATGAGGCAGAAAAATACTGGAAGGTTTCCAAGTGTCCCAGGTTAAGTCTAGCTTGGCAGACAATGCAGAAGAGCTTTCCTTCCTCAAAGAAATAATTTAAAGAGTTAGGAGATGCTGGAGCCCCAGACAACCAATGAGGAGAGTCAGCAGCAAATACAAGGAGTTAAGAGGGAGCTGACATATCATATCCATTTCACCCAATATCTCCAGATAGGAAAAAGGAAATCTCTGAGATCTCTGTCCTACCTCTTTATTTCTCAGCAGTTTTCTCTGGGAACAGATTCCTTGCATGAGAAAGATCCAATGCAGCAAGTTACATGATCCAGCTGTGCCACCATTACACAACAGAATGCTGCCTGATGCTATTAATAGTCACTTTATGAACTCTCCAAATTGTTTCAAATGCAGCAATTTCACACCACTGAAGACAATTAAGTACAGCCTGAGAGTAGGTTATGTCAGGCTGCATCTGAAACCTCTGTAGCAGGGCAGAACAGAGATCAGGCATTAGCCTGGGTTATGCTACCTGTCAGGAAACAGGAAGGGATTCCTAAGGGAATCAGTCAGGATTTCTCAAGTGTATTGGCCTGATTCTCAGTCCATGGCTAGTTTATTCAATTCAGTCATGATTGGACTGCCTAAATTGTTTAGGTCCTAGAGCTCTGTATTTTCAAGATACTAGATAAATTGCAGTGTGATGCCAAGTTGTCAAATAATGGGAAATGGAATGTGGCTAAGTATACGTACAGCATAGTCATCCTTGGGATTGAAATACCTCCTTGAAACATGGAAAAGTAGTCAAAAGTCTTAACAAGTATCAAAAAGATTCTGGAGAGACAAAAGGCCATGTCAAACTTCAGTTTGAGAATATATTAATATAGGCTTCATCCATCCTTTATTCACCAGCCTGGAAAAATGAACAGTATTGCTAATCACTCTGAGCCTGCATCTTATCAGAGCAAGGTGACCATGCTGGGTCCCCACCTAACAGCTTCTGATGCACCAGAATACTGGTACTCAAGAGATACTCAACCTCACATCAACCTCCTCACTGGAAGTCCTGGAGACATCCCAGCAGAGCCTGCAGCAATGTGAGCTGTCACTAGAGTGATGTCCAAGTCACACAAATTTACATTCCCTCCAGATTTACTGGAAATCAGCAATGAATTTGACCCACTGTACCTCTTTATCAGCAGCTTCCCAAGATGCCTGAGGAACTGTGTTTAGCCCAGGTGCAGTCTGGTGGTTTAGCTAGATGGCCATGGTGAGACATTTAATCATCTTTAACATGCCCAAGAGGAAAGTATTCTGAGCAAGTACAAAGCTGGAGGGATTTTTGAATCTTACAACTCTTTGTCTTCAGCCCTGGAACTGTGGCATTGGTGTGGCCGAACCCATCCTGAAACTGGGCCTTGAGTCCCTGTGAGATGTGTGTGCACTGCTGCTGGTGGCAGTAGGTGAATGACCATGGGCAGAAGATGCCCTGTGGAGGTACCCAGCCAACCCACCACTACAGGAAGAGCAGCAGCCCCTTCTCCAGCTGCAATCCTCTCCGCTCCGTAGCGTGCTACGAAACAAACTCAGCTTTGCCCAAGTTCCCACCTCCAAAAATAACATTTCTAACTGTGTTTCTGGCTTTCCTTTTAGGTATGTCTCCATCCACTCTCTGTAGTTTTGTTTCATCTGCTTCTTCAGGCGTTTCTGCGGTAGGAGGGGACCGGAGACCCAGACCCACCACAGTGACCACAGTGCACACAGGGAGCAAGTGAGCGCCGGGGCGGCGAGGAGCGGGCAGGCGGCCTCGAGCCGTCCCACCCTGCTCGGCCAAGGACTAGAAGAAAGAAGATTTTTTTATGGCCATATTTTATACTGCAATTCTGAAATGTTTCATTTATCACAAACTGCAATGACTCCAGGAGGAACGGAATCTAACAGTCTCTGGTGCTGTACATATATATACATATATATATATCTATATATATAAATATATATATGTATGTGAGTCTAGCAATGTTCTAACTAATGAACACTCATTCTTTCCCCCAGTGATTTACTCTCTTCTCAGTGTAGGTAACAGTATATGTTGTATTTTTTTCCATTAACTACAAACATCTCAACTGGATTATTTAAATAGAAATACTTTTCTGAGCATTTTTTTTTTTCTTTTAAAAATTACTTCAAGTAATGTCCCTCTTCCAGTTTGCTGGGGGATAGGCTATTTCTGTAGGTAGGAATTGGCATTAACTTTGCAACATGGGAGGATTTCAATGGCATGCCGTTTCTTGCTCCTCAAATTGGACTGCAAGTCTGTCTGGCTTTAGCAGAGCTGTAACTGCTCAGATTAAGAAACTGCTGCTTTCCCCTCCATCCTCCTCCTTGAAAGCCATGGGGAGAATTAAATTGCCACCAGCTGGGAGTTAGTTCATCCTTGGCCTCATTCCTGATGTGCTGGGGATCAGCACCCTTGTTTCAGAGGAGAGGCAGGGACATGGAGTCAGGCAGGAGCTGACCAGAGCTGTGCAAGGGAAATGATAACACAGTCTCATCCTGCAGCTCCCATCTCCTTTGACTTGCTGTGTGTTGTGAGCAGAGGGAAAGAAAAGGAAGATATGGGGGTGGGAATCATCATCTTCTGCCACTGATTTGCTGTGCTGCCCTCAAGCAAGACATTTAATTCACCAGCCTCCCTGTAGTGTGGCCTCTGGCATGGAGTGCATCCAGCCCAAGGGCTCCATGAGATTCTGAGCACCCACAGCTCCTTCGGGCTTTGCCTGGCATTGCTGATGCTCAGCACCTCCCAGAGTAGCCAGAAGTGGGGAGAGGAGTGGTGCTTGAAGCTCTCTGTAAAGCACTGGCAGGTTCTTGGGTGCAAATTGCAGGATCTGGTGTAGTGTAGCTCCATCATGATCAGGCTGAGGGCTGACAAGGAGTGCTGAACTGGGAAAGCAGGACCCTGCTGGAAGGCACAGGCACAGCTGGTGGCAGGGGTGGCTCCGGCTCTCCTTCCTCCCCAGAGACTCATATACCAAAGGAAGCCAAATTTTTACCCATTTTTTAATTACTGAATGCATGCACTTTCCAGGCTCTTTGTGCTGGTGCATCGTTCAGGAATAGCCACCACAACTGTTGTGCTGCTGTGCATTAAAGCAGCTTGAAACAAAGAAGAGAGCAAATTTTCCTAATTTGCTAAAAGGCTCCCTCCAGGTTACCTCAATGAAATTCCCATCTGATTTTGCTTCGAGGAGGTGAGAGGGGAGGCAGGTGGCAGAGGAAGGTGCCCTTCACTGGGCACTCTGAGCCCCTCCCAACCCAGACAGGTCCATCCCTGCCAGAGGCACAATTCCCTGCAGGGTGCTCTGTTGCCACACTTGCCTCACTTGTCCTGCACAAGAAATTGTGAAATCCAGTCACAGACAGAGCTGAATGTATCAGGCAATAGTGCCTGTGCTGGGAAAAGCCATAAGATAGGTATTTTTCATCGAGGTTTCTATATCCTGCTCCAGCTTTAGCTGGTTGGCTTCACACAGCAGAGCCGGGATTTCATCCATCTTTCTAAAAAAAAAGGAAAAAAGAAACCTGGAAAAGCAGGTGGCAGTGAGCCCTGCCTCTGTTTGAAATAGCCACTCCAGTGGCACTTAGAGCTGTTGCACCAGATCTCTAGTTTCCTCTGTGCTAAGTTGCTCCCTGTTTTCAGAGGGCTGTGGCACGTCTGAGGGAGCCCCGGGTGCTGCAGCTGCCATGGATGCTCACACAGAAAAGACATCAACTTCTCGTTTTAGGAAAGATAGCAGATACTGAACTGTTGGGGGCTTATATCAAAACTCCATATAATTTCCACAGTGAAGACTTCTGACCAAGATTTGGGCAGACTGAAGGGCAGGGGATCTCCTTGCTGCAAATCACACTCCTGTCCCTGTAGCCCGGCCATTGCCATCATACACTTTTTATCAGCATTTGCATCTGAGCTCATTATGTCTTGCTGCAAAAACATTAAAACATGAATAGAACGCATTTTAAACTCAGTCTAAGGCCACTTTATTTGACCAGCCTGAGTAAGGAGGTTTTAGTTTTGAGAGACTCAAACCCCAAAGAAATTCAAGGTATTTCGAACCCCTGTGATTTCATAAGCACAGTTGGCTCTATTCTGCTGCAGCTGCAGGTTGTAAATAGACAGTCTCCCAGTCTGGCATCAGTGGAGTTCCCCATATTTACACACATGCAACCAAAAGCAGGATTTAGTTAGGGAGTAATTGTCTCTGGAATAATTTAGGGGAAAAAAAATAAAATAGGGAATAATTTTGTCTCTGTAGAGCAATTTTAAAGTTTAGGGCTCAAGTGTTCCCTCTGTGCCTCCTCTTCTGAAACCTGAGGTCTGGTTTGAACGTGACCTCAGCAGTTGCTGTGGCCACTGATCAAAATACAACATCCAAATGAATCTTGTAGAAAAAAGAAAAGAAAATGGATTTCCATCTCCAAAACAAAGAGCAGTGACAGGAGCAAAGGCAGACGTGCTGTCCTGCAGATGTGGGGGGGTTCCCATGCGCTGGCTGCCCCTCCTTGCTGGGTGCTTTCTGTGGTTTTTTGTTGGGAGGGTATTTTTCCTTCCATTTTTGGAATTAGTGTGATTTGGTTTTGTTTCTGCAAGTAATATTCTGCCTTGGTTGTGTAATTTATCATTCTCTTTGGCTTGCTATCAACTGCTGGGATCGTAAGATAAGAAACAGAAGCACTTAAGAGCAAAATTGTTTCTTTCTGCTGCAGTTTTGGTGGTGGGGAGCTCTTCTTTGGTATCAGTGAAACACAGCTGGAGACCTGACCTAGGTTCACCAAATGCTTAAAGATCTCTCCTGAAGCATCACTTGGTTAAAACGTCCCAGTTTAAATCTGGGTAAATCTGTTAACAGGGGTTACCTGGCAGCAGCCAGGCCAGATCTGTGGGAGGGGGCTGGAGACATTTGCCCCTTGGCAGCACAGCCTGTTAGGGCAAACACTCCAGCCTTCTGGCCAGGGATGCTCCAGTGCTTTTGCATGTCCTTCCTCTGCCCCAGCCTGCTTCTGCTCAGCCACCATCACAGGAGAACGGTAAATAATGTGGACATGAGGGGAATGGCCTCATAGCCCCACAGTAGAAGCTTCAAAACAAATCCCCAGCTGGCCTTGCCATGAAGGACTAGGTAGAAAAATCACTCTGGGCTCTTTTCCAATGAACTGTCCCACTAAACAATCTGTGATTTGCTGCTTGCATGAGGACTTCAGCCTGGACTCTGTTTGTTACCCTTTCCTGCTTTACCTTACTGGTACCGATGTGTTTTTCCTTTGTAAATTGTTTTCCTCAGCTCCTTCCCCTTCTTTTTCTTTGCTTGCAGCTTTGATTGTTGATTTTTACCTCCAGAGTCACAGAGGCCATCTCTGATGCCAACAGTAGTGCTCTTGCTGGGAAAACAAAACAAAACAAAACAAAAATCCAGAAAAGCTCCAGCTGGCCCCTTAGCCTGCAGAAGAAGTTGTGAGGACAGGCTGCCCATGAACTCTGCAAGCTGAAAGTCAGTATTGCAGTGGCAAGGGCTTCTGCTGATGATTTTGCATGTGACTTCATTCTCAGTGCATCCTAACTTTCTGCTGGATCACCCCTTCTGCAGCATGAAATGGATATTGGCCCTGCAACATGGCTAGTGGGGAAGTAGGAGTGTGGGGAAAACCTGGCAGTGTTGCTTTCCTGAGACTGTGTCACTCTGCTGCTGCTGCTGTCTCTTCTGTCCTGGTTGCTGCTGGTGCCATTAGAGTAGTGGGTACAAAAAAAAAAAAAGAAAAAAAAAAAGAAGATTTTACCTATGCTTTGTGTGTCTGTTATGGTTGTGGTGCTGAAATAAAACCAAGAAATTTGGTTCATAGTTCTACAGTAGGCACTGGATATGGGTTTCTGCTGTGAGTGTGTCCTGCATACCTCCATGACCATTGACGGTATTTTTATTTATTACCAATTATTTTTGGTCCCTGCCTGGTTCTGATGAAATTCAGGTCTTATCCTAAGGTTTTTTCTGTCCCAGGGCCAGCATAACCCCTGATCTCAGGCTTTGCTTCCCAAACTCTCTGCATACCAGAACATGGGCCTCCAGGGTGCCATGAAATGCAGTTGCAGCTGGCCCCAAGGTTGTCCCCTTCCTATTTTTAGGGAAGCAATCCACCAGAGAAAGCCAGATAGCTTCCAGCCATTGGCAAGCAGAGAGGATATTGCCCTTTGATGTGAACTTGGCATTAACAAGATCAGCTCTAGGGAAACCTGCACTATTACTTCCTCCTGTGATAACAGCTCCAGTCCTGAGCAGCACTGAATGAGCACCAGATAAAGACACCAGATTGACTTTGCCAGTAAGATCGTGCAGGCTGTAGCCTGTTCCTTTTGCTCTTTCCAAAGAATCAAGGGATTAATCTACTGGTAAAATAAGTTTCTAGGCTGAGCCCCAAGGTACAGAAGTAGCTTCCATTCGGCATATGGAAATTCTCATTTGATGCAGTTATTCCTGTTCTAGCTTCCGTGCATATTTACCTCTCTGAATTTGGGCCTGAATGCATCCCAGAAATTATTAATGGAAGGGAGTTTTGCCTTCCATATTGTGCTTATTTGCACCAGAAACTTGAACACTCATTCAAGCAAAAAGCAGAAACACACACGGAGACTACAGTATCCAAGGAAAACAGCATCAAGACCAAGAGGGGAGGATTAGTTGGCAAATCACAGTCAGCAACGGCTGAGTGAGGGAACAGCAACCCACTCACAAACACTGCATGAACTCGTTTCCCCTGGTTAACCAGTCATCCCATATTTCATGCCCAGCAGCAAGTTTCACTCAATCCCCTTTGTTTTCCCTCACATCCCTGAAGCCAGGTCCTGCCTTCCCACCCTGTCTGCGAGGTGCTCTGGTCTCTGTGACACACGTGTGTGTTTGTGTGTGCACGTGCGTGTTGTGGTCCCAGGGATCACAGATCCCTCTGGTGGGTGATCAGGAGTTGGTCCTGGATTTTTGGTGTAACTTTGCACAGTTGGGTCAAAGCTATGTAAATAGTGTTTGTAGTGCAGGAGGCTCTTTAGCCTGGACTCTGGTTTTCAAGATCCCCTTCCCCACCACAAATAGTGCCACTTATCTGTCCAGGTAGCTTTTTTTTTCCCTTCCTCTTCATAAATGCTAAGGTCAGTCAAATGGCTCTTACAGTCTTTCCATGCTCCAGAGTGGAATCAGGGCATGTGCGCTCACAATTGTTGTGAAAAAACACTGCTGAGCTAATGATGGCATCAACTGTCCAATAAATGCATGATACTGCATTGCATGTATTAAACTGCTGTTCACTGTTTCTGTATTTCCCAAGCATTTCTTTATGCACATTCAACCCAACCTTCTCTCTGAGGGAATTACTTCTATGTATTGCTTTTAAATGACTCAATGTATCTGTAACTCGAAATCCATTGTTAAGTTTAAGTAAATGCAAAAGCTGATGTTTTGTAAACAAGATACTGCAAAGCCTGGTAATGTATTTTGTCCTTCTGTTGAGTGCCCTGCAGCATGTATAGGAAGAGTCACCATCCAGAGCAGCTAAAAATTAGGCAGCAGTCGCACAGGTGTAGAAGCAGGGAGCTGGGGAGGTGAGAATCCCCTTTTTAATACAATGCTTACAAATCTGATCTGCATCAAAACTTCCTTCCCTGGGTCACTAATGCACAGAGCTACCAAGAAACACATTGGTTTTGTTGTCCAAATTGTGTCTGTTTTTTTCTTTTTTCCTTTTGGTTTGTTTTTCCTAGTGAAAAATCAGATTGGTTGACTCAAAATCTTAGTATTTTTCTCTTCCTACAAGATAATTCTTTCTCACCTGTTGCAGAATGAACTGCATTTTGGGGACCAAGATGCTGTGATTCTTTGCCTGCACAAAATAGGGCAGAGGGCTGAGCTAATTTTTCCCATCCTTTCCAAAGCATCACCAGCTAACTACTACCATTTAATCCCTGAACCTCCAAGTAATAGCATTTATCCACAGAAGAGTTTGGTGTGGTACTTCTCCATCTTCCACATGGAAATCATGCCCTTGCCTTCTCTTCCCTTAGTCATTGACCCATTTTCATCTGTGCTGGTCTTTCCAAGGCAGGGTACAGGATGGCTCCATGGTACTTGTATTAGCTCCAGCCCAAACCTCATGTGGGTATCAGCAAGGCTTTGGTCCCAGCTCCTGAGTGGCTGCTGTGTGGAAGATGCTCGAGTTCACAACACTCAAAGCAGAGTCGTGTGAAAGGACTGGGAAATTGCTCTGTGCTCCTGGCAAGGCCAGGCCTGGGGTGCAAGCACCATCCTGGTGGCATAGTCCTTGGAAATTATTCTCCATGGTGGCCAAAAACGCCATGAAGTCATGAGCCTCCCTTTAAGGCTGGTGCTCAGCCAGGGCTGTGCCATTGGTGAATCACTGTATGGCAGCACAACAAATCATCAGTTACAGATGTAAACCAGCCTGAGTTCAGATTGCTGAGGCAGCACACGGTGCAAGGGTCCACGAGGAGTTGGGTGTGTGCTGTGGTTCCTGGTGGGTGGGAGACCCTAGGGGGTTTCTCAGAGCAGCTCTGAGCTTTCCCATCTCTCATCTTGCATCCCCTGAGCCCAGCATGGCATCACAAATGCTGAGTCTTACTAGATCAAGCATGACCCCCAAAGTGAAGAGTGTGGAAGGTTGCAGCTCAGTTGGTGTGACTCATGTTTTGGTCAACACATCAGTGACCTGCTGTACATTGACCTCTAGCTGAGAAACAATACTTTGGTCCATTTGGGCCTTTTTTTAGATAGATATTTTATTTGAGTCAGAAAACAGTGGGGAAAAAAACCCCAAAATGCTAGTCTGCCCAGAGCAGTGACTCCCCAAATATCCCCAACTGTAAAACATCCCTCAGTTGACTTCTAATGAAAATGCAAGCATGTTTTCTACAAAGGCTTAAATCTTAATCAAGGAATGTCAGTGTGCCTAATATTGCAGGTCTTGTGAGTGATAACAAGTTCATAACAGCATCCATGTCCAAAAAGAAGGAAGAATGTGTATTTACTCCATGCATGTATTAAGGCATCGCAAAAGTTTTATCTGCGTAATGAGTTTGCAGTTCTGCAAATTGTTAATGGGGCTACATCGCAAGTGGTTCTTTGCCTTGACAATCATGTATACATATCGAGATTTCTATCATATTGACAATTTAAAGGGATGACTAATTGTTTTCCTCCAATAAATCCAATTAAATCAGCCTGATGTGAAGTCTGGTGATTTTGAGTGCATGAGTCTCCACCCACATGCAAGAGACGGAGTGAATAATTTCTGCGGCTGTTCCACTGCCCTGTTGTGGTTTATGCAATGATGTTCCTTTATGTCCCAAAGGAGAATAATAATATTTTCTTTTCCCCCAGTTTATTCCATAGGGAAATTAATAAAAAGGATGATTTGTCCTTCAGATTTTTCCCAAAGCTGTCAATGCGAATGATGTTGAATGTCAACATATGGAGACATGGCTGTCTCCTGGGCACTGAGAATATCTGTGTAGGGCTCAGGAAAGGACATGTACTTGTTGGAGACTGCTTACCTTTGGTCCTGGTGACTTACACACTCTGTGGTGGGAATCATCAGCAGAGAGAGGATTTTTATCAGTGAGAATTTCTGAGTCTCTTTGCAGTCAGCTATGCTCTCCAAAGGCTGTTGAGTGTGCTCCATCATTGGCTTCATTTTCTTCCAGATGATGTTCCTGGTGTGTGTTATGACTTGCTTTTAAATTTTTCCCCCTATTTTTCTCCACTGTTGTTTCTTATTTTCTGGTTTTCACTCACTGGCACCCAAGAAATACTCCCCCATTAAAATAGGTGGCAAAACCAACATGCTCAGTAGGGAGGTGGGCCTGTGCTTGAGGCCAAAGCTAGGTGGTTTTGGACACCTGGTTCAGTAACAGAGCTGAAACAAACAGCAGTGATGATGGCCAACTCACAGCAATATAAAGAGAAAGGCAAATTACTTATAAAGCTTTTATTTTGTGAACGAAGAAACAACCCCCAGAGCCAACATGGTAAGTATTTGAAAGCTGTGGTGAGCAACTGTGTTCTCAGAATTAGGTTCTGATGGTGGGTTGTACCAGGACAGGTGAGATAACCTCTGATTTGTGCACTGGAAAAAGGACATCCGTGGCAAGATACATCTTTGGAAAGGTACATCCATGTACAAAAATGCTGTCTGGAAGTTTTTTGGAGGTGGTGCGTGACACTGAGGCACAAACACATGATTTGCAACGTGAGGAGGAGCAGCACATCCTGTAAAAAGACTGTGCAGTCTTCCCAGGTGACATAAGCCTGAACTCTGACGTTCTTTGCATACTAAGGACCTCACTCCCACCTGTGTGTAAGTTATCTGGATTTAGCTCAAATTTGGCACCTACAGTAGATTAAGGTCTATCCCATATTTTACTATGGAATTAAAATCTCAGCCAGGAAAATTTTCTCATGTTTTGATTTTAAAGTCATGGGTTCCTGTGTGGGTTCATTGGTCACTCAGAGTGCACCAGGATCAGTACAGAGAAGCCAGAGGGACAAGACCAAGATGCATCTGTAGAAAATATTTTATTTGCAACCTTGCCAAAATCCACAACTATGTTTGCACTGGAGAGAAGGGGATTGTCCTTTGAAGGCTTTCAGAGTGTTGGTATGCACTGAGGTCTGGCTTATGCCATACATCAGCCTTTCTTTGTGCTAGACCAACACCATTTCATGCTCTCTAGAATGACCCCTTCTCAGAACCAAGGCTCCAGTGGGCTGTGACAGCTCTTCTTTTGCACCCAAGAGGAGTTTTGAATGAGTGACGCCTGTTGAAGCAGAGAAAGTGCAGGTGCACAACTTTGAGGACCATCCAACCTGAGTAGGGATAGACCCCTGTGGTTCAGGAGCAGGTGATGCTTAGAAGGATACGTTCTGCACAAAGCTTTAAAATCAGTGCTTGTGCAGTGTAAACAGTCCTACCTTCTTTGATCATGCCCACATGGAATCTCTTCCTTCAGGCCAAACATTCCCAGTTCTGTGAATCCACAAAATCATATTGGTCTTGTGAGGATCCCTTTGGGCAGCTTTCCATGGGGAGACAACATGGGCCTGTCTTGCCCAGAAGCAATCCCAGGACACTCTAAGCTGTGATATGGATAAGAACACATGCTCTTCCCACCATGTTATGCTTCCTTCCAGCTCTGGACATCCCTCAGGGAGAAAATCCACCTATATCACTGTTGGTGTGTGCCCTGCCTAGCACATCTGAGTCTCTGTTTGGTGGGCCTTCTCAGCCATGCTGAATTACTGTGGTGATAAACATTTTTTATATCTGTGGGGATGGGGAAGAGGGACCATCTGGATTATCACTACAAGTATTCAACTGAGTATTTCCAGATTGTTCAGCTTTTGGGCTTTCTGGATTATATTGGGATAAATTCCTGACTTCCAAACTTTGTTTGCTTATCCTGAATTCAAGAGTTTCTTTTCTTTTTTAATCTTTAGGATTTTTCTTTTTATAATTTCAATATGCTGATAAAGTTACGGTCAATTAATGATTCATTTACCTTATTCATGAAAGTGTTTTGTTTAGGGAAATTAATACTAATAGAGCTGAGAGGCAATTTGTTGTTCCCATCAAACTCATGAACTTTGTGCTTTCCTTGGCGCCGTATAGACTCTTGTATGTTTTTCATTTTCTTTCTTTAGGGCAGAAGCAAGAGCTGTGTTCACATCTGTGCCTCAGCTTGCAGTCCAACAGTGACCAGAAATGCATAATAAATCTCAAACTAAAGCTTCTTTTTGTTGCAGGCCAGCTGGGCAGGTACCAGCCATATTAAGAATCACATATCACGTCTTCAAGTTTGCATTTTGTTCAAAGTAGCATCTGAAATGTAACCTTCCCTCCCAGTCTTTGACCCAATGCAGCTCTGTGTAGCACTTAATTAGATCAGATCCCTGTTCCACTACAAAGAAAAAACAAAATTATAGTCATGGTGAGCCCATACTGACCTTCAGTGGGAGCTGACAGATGAACTCCTGTTCTCAACAAATTGAACACAGGCACGTGATGGACATACACTTGGAGTTATATTATATGGTAATACAATGCAATAGAATGCAATATTATATTATCTGTATTATATTATACAGTATTATATTATTACAGTGTCTCTATCAGACCAAAGCAGAGGAAAACATGGCATTAATGGGAGGTTTGGTACTATTCTGCTGTGCCTTGTCACTACTAAAGTTACAGGATTTTACCATGTATTTCAATTACCTTTTGGTCACAATATCTAAAGAGGAAATTCATCTGTGATCAGACTAGGGCTGAATTCTGAAGACAATGTGCATCTTTGCTGCCACCAAACATCAAGTTCACTTATGAGTCCACTGACAATTACCTTGGAGGCTTGAATTGAGGAACTTCTTCCCTCTCTAAGTATTTGCAGCATGCAGAGGGCACCGTGTGCTTGAATTTACTGATGGTTCCCATTAAATGTATGGAAAGAACTGACAGTCCAATAATTCCCCTGGAATAAAGTCAGAGACTTTCAGGAAAGAGCTGGGTTTGTTACCAGGACACCTTGGGAGGTTTCACTTATCTGTGCAAAGAAGGTGGTGACAGACTGATGAGGTGATCTAGCACCAAATGTGGCTGAACAGATGGACAGGGTCCTGACACCTGTTCCTGGAAGTCACCAAGTCCAAGGATGCCTACAGCTATGGATGGCCTGGCAGGACTGTTGTGCTGTGCACCCAGGCCATGGTCCCCAGCAGCTGATGGACCTGTACCAGGTTGTGCCCGTTGCCACTAAGTTGGTTGTAGTAAGATGAGCTGAGCACCTCAACTACAAAGTATTTAATTCCTTAAATTCTCCCATGGCGATGTAATACAGTAATTCTGTTCAGCTTCAGCCTCATAACTTGTTTTGATTATCTGTGGCCTTATGGTGGTGATTTAAACCTACTGATTTATTGATTCAGTCTTAATTGGGTCCTGAGCTGGGTCATTGCATCATTCTATCTTTAATTGCTTTAATTAAAGTCTAGCAAATTAGGCTGGTAATATGATTGCTTAGAGGAATTCTTGCCTGTTCATGCTTCTTAATGAAATCCATAAAAGTGAAAAAACAAATGAGCTTACCCTACTAAACTGCCACTTGTATTATGGAGTCTGAGCAAAACTCAGAAAATCAATCTGCAGTGTCCTTGGCTCTTCCACCAAATATATGTTTTCAGAAGGAGAAAACTTAGCACCTCAGCAAACATCCCCACAGAAGAACAAGCGGAAGAAAACAGACAAATGTGAAGCTAAAATCTGGTTCCAGTTCCCATTTCTCAGATTTCCTCTAACTTTGCCAGCAAGTCATTTAGGAGAAGATCTAGAGACCTGCTTATATCCCAAAACTAAACTTCAGCCCAGTGGCTAGAGTACATGCTGGGATCTCTCCCACTCTCAGAGACCAAATTTCTCTGGAATTTGAGGTCTTTCCTCATGTCCCCAAAAGTTTGACTCATGCCCCATTCTCTTTGCTATCAGTTTGGTGCCCAGATGAACATTTTAGGCAGAGGACTCAGCACTACCTGTGAGAAGGAAGATTTTCTCACTATTTTGTGCTGTGACATTTATGAGAAGCATGGGCGTGGCTGCCCTCCATCACCATTGGCAGCTGTCTGTTGCCCGCACTGTTCCTTTCCACCTCTTCCCCTCTCATTTTCCAGCAAGGCTTCTGCATCTGCAATGCATTTTCTACCCACTGGGCTAACGAGCTCTGTGTTGCCAAAGCTGCCTGGAACTTCTTAATTTCCCCCTGGTTTATGAATGGAAATATGCTGCTTCCTCCCGCTCCTTGCTCATCAGTGAACACTCTACTTTGCATCTCACTTGACCCTGGCTCCTGCTGCAGAGAAAATATCATTACTTACCAGCAGTGCAAAGCCCCCCACCAGCCCTGCTCATATACCCTGAAGCCTGTTCCATAAATACAGAGAATCTGTTTCAAAACTGAATTTGCAAATCCAAAGAAAATCTGCAGTCAATTAAAAGCAATGAGAATTAAGAATACAGCAGATGAGGAATATGAAGTTCAGATCAGCTTGATCCCCAGCGTGACAATGCATTTTACTTTATCCCTCTAGGAGAACAGGGATTTTTGTCTCTGCATGGGCTGTAATGATGTGGCTGGAAAGCTTCCATTATCTTTTAATTAAACACTGTGATTAC